TGTCGTAAAACTGTCAACCATTAAGACTTTATCTTTATGTACACTATGATGATAGTCCAATAGTAGTTATATTTTTAAATGTACTATTTGTGTTTAATTTACATAACGTCTTATTTCCACAGATCATGGGACCTAAGAGAAGGCAGACAACTACAGCAACACGATTTTAGTTCACAGATTTTCTCACTTGGCTACTGCCCCACAGGTATGTTTATTTAATTAATTATGACCATTTAATAATAGAAAATTTAAAATACCATTTGAATAACCGTGGTAAAACATGTAAAAAGATAAAGCAATACAATTTCAGTACAGCGCCATCTTACGTCAAACCTACGGAATCAGTCAAGTTTATTACAGTGCCATCTTTTGGCACTAAATAATAAAATATATTATTTACAGGCGAGTGGTTAGCGGTGGGTATGGAGAACAGCAACGTTGAAGTACTGCACGCGGTGAAGCCGGACAAGTACCAGCTGCATTTACACGAGTCGTGTGTACTCTCACTGCGCTTTGCTTCTTGCGGCAAATGGTTCGTGTCCACCGGCAAAGACAACCTGCTCAACGCATGGCGTACGCCCTACGGCGCCAGCATATTCCAGGTAAATAAACCTTTATACATGCATATTACTGTATCTTTTTATATCAAACATTTTTCATATCTATAATACTTGTCTTGAAAGACTTTAAGTCGTCAAATTTGTTGTCAATACCATATAGCATGCTGGTAAGACCCTTGATGGAAGGGGCGCCACAGGTCTGCTAATCATACAGTCTCACATAACCCTGTTAACTTCTCTCTAGAGGCATGATAAAATAAGAGGTGCCGTAGAAATCTTGCCCAGGGCGCTAGTAATGCGTTACTGACATTATTCATTAGAAAAGGAAAAAACTACATTTAGAATAAATGATTCATTAGAGACCTTTAGTTTAAAGTGTCAGAAATCAGAGATGTCAAATGTCAATCAGTTGGAGTAGAGATTGTATATAAAATAAATAATTTCAGTCAAAGGAATCGTCGTCGGTGCTGAGCTGCGACATATCGTCTGACGACAAGTACATAGTGACGGGCTCCGGCGACAAGAAGGCCACCGTGTACGAGGTCATCTACTAACTCGGGGGCGGGGGCGAAGGCGGAGGCCGGGGCAGACTGGGACGGGGGCATGGCGCGGGGCAGGACGGGGCGCGGCCGGTGATATAGCTTTAGTGTACAGACCTGGGGGAGCCTGTTGTACTTATGCGACTTGTTTATATAGATTAGTGTGCGCGGTTTATGTTTATTTGTTGAGCGCCCGTAGTGCATGTTGGCTGCAGATCTCAAAACTGACGATTACGTTTCAATATTGTTGTATAATGCTCGTATTAAAGAAAAGATATGCGCAAACAGTATAACATTTGTATTATTTATCCTTTACCTTGTGTAACTCGACTATCGTGACGTCATAATATCTAAAAACAAAAAAAAACTACTTCTGAATAAGAAACAGGTGAATCTCCTCAACTAGCTGTTGGTGATTAGTATGGCTTGCAAAATTGTTTGTCAGAACTATTGCAAATTTCTATCACTACATATTCAGAGGGAACTTTTACCTAAGTTTGTGGGATGCTATGGCATCACTTGTTTTTTCTTTTCTTTTATTTTATTTTTATTTATTTCCAAGGTAAAATAAGTGTCTCATCAGACTGTGTGTGTGTATGCGATGTTGCTGGACGGCCGCAGTCGCTTAATACGAAAAAGTAAGTTAGAACCTAAAAATGTTGTTAAACTATTCTTAAAGCATAGCCTTCGACTTCACGCGAAATTGAAAATAAATATAGCCTATGTCACCCGCGGAGAGTGTATCTTTCCGACAGTAAATGAATTTTTCAAATCGGTTCAGCAGTTTCGAAAGCTATTCAATATAAACAATCAAATCTTTCCTCTTTATAATATCAGTATATGTTTGTATTTGCAGAAAAGGTTTCATTAAATTTTCATCATGTGGAATGGCGGCGCGTTAACTTATTCAATATAAAAAAAAATTACGCACTAAGATTATTTTCAATTTAACAAACTGTAATAGGAAACTATCGTTATCAATGGATTTCCTATTTGTACGCAAACACGCGTCAATTGATACGAAACCATCCTAATGACGTTTTTATCTAACCGTTCGTTTTCACTGCCATAACATATGTTTTGAGATATATATGTGAAGTCAATACAAGGCTGCAGTCAAAACCAAAAACAATAGTGGCAAAAACAAAGCTTTTCTTTCCACTGTAAAATAAAAATTGCAAATTCATGTACTATGGTGTTTATAATAAAAAGCTGTCAAACAAACCATACTTATTATAATTGATTACATTTTTAGGGTTCCGTACCTCATAGGAAAAAAACGGAACCCTTATAGGATCACTTTGTTGTCCGTCCGTCTGTCTGCCTTTTTCTCAAAAAACGCGGGAAGCTGGAATTTATTTAAATCATTCTTTCACTGATGAAACGCTACATTATCCTCGGGTGTTAAAGGCTATATTTAGCACTAGAAAAAGTTTATTTTTATTTTAGCGCGTGCTAAATCGCGGGCAATTACTAGTACTATATAAAAGGTCTACAACACTAAGGTATTCTCTTACCGTTCGTTTCAGTCAGTCTCAGAAATTCACGGTTAAAGAATTTTTTTTTTTAGTTTTTTTAAATTCTGATGTGACCAAATATAGCGGCTTACAGGAGTATATGTAACCGAGTAGCAGTAAGCAGACGCCGGCGGTGCCAGCCACCGCGTTATCGGCGCCTGGCACTATGTTATACCGCTCTCCTTTGTCAACGCACTCCTGCGCAATTGCAATCAAATTAGGTAATTTATTGTGACGTAACTAACTTAGTAGTCGTTAATTGTTTGTAACGCTATTAACTAAAGTTTAGTCTTATTTTACTCTTTACAAAATTTATAGGAAATAGATCTTAGTTAATTGTTTACTCATTATTTCAATCTTTGAATCTCATTTTAACAACTCTTCTAATACGTCTCATTACCTTTCGATTTTATTTATAAAACTGACTTAGAAGGGTAATGTTTTTGAATTTTCGTCTTTTGCAGCCCATTCTATTAACATTGGCAAAGAAATTTTGTGTTCAGAAAAGGCTCGAACTGTAAGTATCAAACGATGTTAATTACGAAACAGTTTTTTTGCCGCAACAAAAACAAAAGGTGCAACATGATACTTTAAGTTTATCAATTTTCCGTGCGTTTTGTGTCTGTATAACAGAATAGTACGCACGTTCATATCATGCGCAACCCGAGCTGGCGTCAGCGCGACCAGATGCCGGCCGTGCCAGCCACTGCGAAGATAGCGCCAACCAGCGTCACTGGATAAACTATGCCATTGATGATATCTAATACAACATACAAATTGCAGTAAAAACCAAAAAAACAAAACGCACCAATATGTATTTCAATTGTTCTAAACACGAGTAATGCGGTATAGTTCAAAATTTCCCGTTTACTTTATGCCAACGAGCGGACATCCGCCGTTAATTTTAAGATAACAGATTATGCAGTATCAATTTGGTGAAATCGATTTAATTATTTTATGATTTGTAAATTTTGTTTCGTAATAAATGTTTACCTGTATAGCGATTTAATAACAACAGTTAAGAATGGGATTAAAACTAGTCCTTTTCATACTAATTGGTCTTGCAGTATCGTTCTAACTGCCTTATTCCACAGAGGATGATGCTTCAACAACGGTCATCTACCTCAATAGTTACAGAGGAAGCTGTAAGTTTTTTTATTAGGTTTGCGGATTTTGCTTGTCACATTGTTATTAAGGCAGTAATTACTATACTACTGTCTCCCGCGACACCGTGTGCGCGGAATAAAAAAACTGTGTGTTCTACGCTATAATCTATATCTTTGCCAAATTTCAGCGAGATTCATGCAGCCGTTCTGCAGATACCATCTAACAAACTTCTATCCATCCAATATAAAGTAATTTTTCGCATTAGCTTAAAATTAAGATTTTTAGAAACCCGCGATATCACGGAGACAGGACATATGGTGGATCGATAAAGACATACTTCCGTTAAAAACTTGAATTCCGTGTAGTTATTTTTGTTTCTATGACGCATCTCTAGTATAATTTCCATCGACATAATATTGGAATATGTTATCATCATAAGTTTTATCGTGAAAGTAACATTGCGAACATATTGATGTCGGTTTTTTTAACCCTCAGACAGTTAATGTGAGTCATTGAACTTAAACATAAGCTAATAAAATCCAATCAATGCACATTATTTATAAACAAATGTAATTTAACAATTGCATAGATGTATGTAATATGAAACTTGAATTAAAATTACATAATAGTTAATAATTTGTTTGTTTTTTTTCAAACAGAAAATTTTTTGCTTATTAAATAATATAAAGCTTGGCATTTTATTGATAGAGAATCACTCTCTTTTTTATTAGAAAGCTAAAGTCTCGTTTCGCAAATTAAAAACTAAGAAGGTTCGTTACAGGCAAGCTCAAGCAGTACTCAATAAACAGTGTAAAGTTATGTTTTAGTTCCCTCGTATGAATGTATGTATTCAACATACAGTTGCGAGGGCACTTATACTGTAATATATACGATATAGGATTTCTAAAAGACAAAGCATTATAAACAATACATTGTAAATGCATAGGTAAAAGAACTGCACGTTTGGTCGAACAAATAAGAGATAAGCGCGTAGAAAGTGAACGATCCTGCTGTCGTTACATTCAATAAACACCGTCGTAATTGATATTTTGTTCTATTTTATCTTTTTAATGCGCAATGTGTCGAGCATATCTAAACAACAACAAAGTGCCTCATTGAAAATAACGGCCTTAATAGAATACAAATACGAAAAGGATAGATTACTTCGTGGCAGAGTAGTGCAAGGGATTGAAATGGTGTTGTTGACGTATGACATGTTGTGCTGAAAAGGTTTGCGGGTGCGGACATAATGAGTGTTATCGCGCGTCCGTCGCGGTGTCCGGCGTTGGCCGCTGCAGACGCCGGCCTGGCCGCACTCTGCAGCGCTGCCGCGACCCAAGCGCACGCGCTCCAATCATATATGTTCGTGCTTCCTTTTTATTACCGATCGTTACCAAACAAAAGCAACAAAACTGACGATAGCTGTGAGTGTTATTTTTTTACTAATACAAATCCATTCCTTAAACATGTTGGAATTGCGAGGGAGAATAAGAAGCTGTTTCTATTTTACAGGTCCAAAATGTACCGCGAGGACCTAATCTTTGAGGATGCCGCGCTTGATGATCAGCCGCTGTTTGAATACTCTCCAGCAGAGAGCTTGATAAACTTCGAGCTACCAACATCGGTCACCGCCGAAGTAGACGATTGGCAGATTAGTGATTTAGAGTTTAATTGTGACGCGTTTCTCGGTAGTGTTTGCGAAAGAACGAGAGACGGTTCCGAGGACGATTCGCCTGTGCTCTTCGATTTTGCGGATTTCGACAAGAATGTGAATTTTGACGATTATTTATTAGATGCGTTAAGTTGTGATCATTCCGAGGACAGGCTACAATTGGGGTCCGATTCCACGGACAGCTGCGACGACCCGGGTCAAGGCGCGCTGTCCGTGCTCGGCATCGACTTGGAGTTGATATGTGCGGAGAGCTCTCACACCGCGGCCGAGCCGATGAGTGAAACGAATGCGAAAGAATGTTATCCGGCGGAGAGTGTACCAAAATCTCGATCGTGGGGTGAGCCCACGTTTTGTCCGGAGCTTGGCGCTTTCCGGTGTCCGGTCGGAGAATGCGGCAAGCTATACGCCAAGGCGTCGCACGTGAGGGCGCACCTGCGGAGGCACAGCGGCGAGAAGCCGTACAAGTGCACGTGGGGCGGTTGCAGCTGGCGATTCGCGCGGTCAGATGAGCTGGCGCGGCACCGGCGCAGCCACTCCGGTGACAAGCCCTACCGCTGCTCCGAATGCAGCAAGCGGTTCGCGCGCTCCGACCACCTTGCCAAGCACGGCCGCGTGCATGCTCGCCGCGCAGCCGCCAGCGCAAGCGCCGCGCTCCCGAAACGCTCCTCCCCCGCATACAGAACAAGACGCTACTTGTGAAAAATACTAATAAGGATTAAAATCTGATTGTATTGGGTAGTTATAGATCATGCTGAAATGTTGTTATTTTTTTGATGAAGTAAGTTATAATTAAAACCGCGCGGGCGCGGTTATAAGCTTTTAGTTAAGTGTTATTATTAGTTTTAAATGTAATGTTTAATATCTAACTAGTTTTAATTCAGCCATATGTGCCATTACTATTTTATTTCAATTTGTAAATATTTTTTAAGTTTATTAATTAAAACATTTTAAAAATTTACTTTCTTTTTTTTAGGCCTTTCACAAAAATGATTGATGGAGGACATTACACGGGCTTTTTACATAATGTCCAGTAAGACAGTAGCGTTGGCCTCTCATGGGCTTGTATGGGCTCACTGGTTTCAGATGGTGTTTACATTATGCCAGTTGTATGTCAGTACTTATTTTGAGCACTACTGTACTATTGTACTAGCATAAGGTAAACCAGGCATTATAACAATCATGTGACTTTTCACTAAAATGTGACTGTTGCATCTAACCCCTACGATACTAATTATAAATAAACTATTCAAACATACTTATTATTTGTATAAAAGCCAGTGACACTTCAGTTCTAGTCTCAAGTTGAACACCCCAAATCTTAATCTAGGAGGGGACGCTACATACTTAAATAAAATTTTGTTACATCTATGATTGTCGTCTATTTTATAAAAGATGTAACAAATGACCTAAAACTATAAGTTTCGCTGTCACGAATATAGGATTTGGTCTTTGTACTGATCTTTGCAGGAGGCCTATACCTCTGTCCAACAGTAAACGTCATTTGGTTAATAAATTCACAGCTTGGTATAATGTTTAAATCCGGTTTGAAAGTTGTTAAAAGGCATTTTCCTATTTTTCCCGGTGTAAAAGTTAATAAAATATTATTTCAATAATTGACTCGTTAAAACGCAAATAGAAAAGAGCTTTATGGTCAAATACACTCTATTTTGTCTATAGTTTGGATATTTTATTATCTGTTGGATGTAAAAACCTACTAATTTGAGAAGTTATTTCTCTGGAAGCTTTTATTAAAATTATATTGCATTTTTAAATTACACGCTTTTACTATAGATACACGATTCATCTCAACACACAAATAAAAATGGTGGTTCAATTTCTTTAAAAGGATTTTTAAATCGAAATAAGATGCTGATATCAATAAAAACGTTTGAAAAGTGACAGACATTTCAAACAAGTTTAATGTTGTAAATATATTGTTTGTGAAATTACGTGGTGCGCAAGTGAAACAAGAGTTGTGTATGACAAATAACAGGTTGTTGGAGATACCGAAATCGCTATATGCCTGTATGTAAATCGGAAGTGTTGTTTTTTTGAGGCCTATGCAGAGTTGTTTTAAACCACAAAGTTAAGAAAACGTTAACGTTTATATATAAGTAAAAAACATAAACTCGCATATATCACTACAACTATCGAGCTTGGGACATGTATTCGTTCAGCATGTGACCCACATCTAAGATTTCTCTTCTCAGTTGTGTGTGGTGTTGATCGTTTTAAGAACTAATAGTAGCAAAAAACAAGGAAGAAATCGAAGCTGATGCAGTATGTGAGGGTTTGTCAACAGACATGACATTTGGTAATGCTGTCACGGATGAATACAACCCGCAGATCTTGCAGGGGGTCAGATTTATTTTTTTCCGATTTATATAACTTTAATGTACAATTACATGTAAGTTTCAATGTTATATACCAGTGTTTGGAATTGGATATTGAACGATCAGTGCGAGATGCATAAATTTATAAAGTATGCACGATAAAGACGGAACTTTAATAAAAATGGCATGTAGATGCCAGTGCAACAATTTTAACTCTCAGGATTAGAACAATGGTGCAGGATGGCACATGCTGAAAATCACAGATATATTGTGCAGGTTAGTAAATACGTATGTATAGTATTCATCAATACATAGTACAATTATTTTGTGACAATGATATATAAAATAATGATATTGGATTTGGAAACTAGGCTAATAAAAATATAGTAGTGATTATAATTATATTAGCAATATAGTATGAAATTAAAATAGCTTTAATAAAGACTGTACTTGCAGGTGTTTGTGGGAGCTCTGTCAGCACAATATGAGGCGCTATCAGTAGAAGCCTCAAAGCAGACAAGCTCGGAGGAGATAGTATGTTGTATCACAGAAAAACTTAAATTAACAGATGGATCTGGTGGACCATATGAACTGGCTGAGGTAGGTTTGATGCACATTCATTCTTACAAATAGAAATAACAATAAGTTGTATGTATATGAAAAGATTGAATTGATATATGACGGCTCATAGAAATATATGGAAGACTAGTAATGTAATATACCAATCCTCTGTAGGAAAAAGGGCAGTCTGAAATCAAATGGATTCATTTATTCCAAAGAGTTGCACTAAATATAGTATACAAATTTAGTACATGTACCTAAATAAAGAATAAAAAAAACAATTACATTAGTCATCATAGTTATTCAAAATTGCCTCTTTTTCCTGTAGATAAATGGACCTACCAGTGTCATTATCTCAACTGTTGATTTTTGTAAGTGTCATAAAATGTGTCATAATTTAATGTACAAAGTCCTTCTGCATAGTGTTATGTTAATGTAAGTAATAGTTTAAACTTTTATGAGGCATTTTTAATAAAGTAATTAAATCATTTGTTCTTCGGAATATTCAAAAGTATTGTTCGTTTTACTATTGTTACAATTAAAGTAATAAATATCATAAAGATACCTATTTATGTATATAACTCCTAGGTACAAAGAAAAATTCTTAAGTCATGTTTAATAAAATCATAAATGCTTATTTAGGTGGTTGGTGATACAGTCAGTGGGGAATGTAAAGAGAGACGGCTCGGCCCCAATGAGTCCCCGGTTGCCGTCATGTTGCTGTGGCCTAACAACAATACAGATCAGTACTACAGGTATTTACAATCACTTTACATAATTAAATATAAATATGCTTATGTACTGAAATTCATTTCTTTGAACTTGCTAATCTCTAGTGCTAATTGGATAAGAAAAAATATTTTTACATTTGACAGACCAATTATTAAAGAAGGTTATTCATAATTTAATTATGTTTTATTTTAATGTGGATAAAATAGTATTTGTTAAGTTATAATTTTTTTCTCAAATAAATAAGCAATGTAAGACATTTTTATTCTATGAACAAGAATGTTATTTATATGTATCAATCTTTGTACTACAATGATTCATTTAATCATTTACCTCTCATAATTATTTAAATTGACTGTTTCCTTATATGTTTTGCTATGTACTTGAATAAGTTGACTACTAGGTGTGGATAATTACTGTATCAAAGTAATTTGCAATTGTAGTTGTTGCATCAAAATTATGAATATTTAAGATTTGTAGGATTCAAAGTGAAGGGACATAGAACTGTTAGGATTTACAGTGGTCATGTGCGTGAGTCACTCTTCCTGCCGCCATATGCCGTGATAACAGCCATCCTGCCAAACAAAATTTGCCACTTGCAATAAACACAACATTGAACAAGTTTCCCTAACTATTTTATATTTAAAACACTTTAAATTTAACTCTTTGAAATGTAATTATATTTTTATTTTTGTATATATACCAATATGACACCAACTTGATTTGAAATTTATCACATTGTCAGGTTCTATCTACGGGAGAAAATTCCAGATGAGCCATGGATGGAGAAATTTTCTGTTGACCCACAGCTGATAAAGGACTACTTCCAGAGGTTTCTATATCAGCCCAAAGACAGAGAATATCCCGACTTGTGTCAATTGCCAGAGCTAAATGAACAGACACTGCTTGATAACCTGAGAGCTAGGTTTGCTGCTGGATACATTTACACATATGTGGGATCAATATTAATAGCGGTCAATCCATTTAAATTGTACCCAATCTACAATCCGAAGTATGTGAAGCTCTACCAGAACAAGAGAATAGGATCCAGCCTTCCTCCACACATATTTGCAGTAGCAGACGCAGCGTACCATACTATGCTACGCGAAAGAACAAACCAGTGTATAGTGATTAGTGGTGAAAGTGGTTCGGGAAAGACTGAAAGTACAAATTTTCTTCTCCATCATCTCACTGCGTTAAGTCAGAAAGGATCACACGGCAGTGGTGTTGAACAAACGATCCTAAGTGCGGGTCCAGTGTTAGAGGCGTTTGGTAATGCGAAAACGCCCCACAATAATAATTCAAGTCGTTTTGGCAAGTTTATTCAAGTTAACTATAAGGAAAATGGTATGGTCCATGGTGCGGTGGTGCAAAAATATTTACTGGAGAAATCAAGAATATGCAGTCAGGGTCGCAATGAAAGGAATTATCATGTGTTTTACTATCTGTTGGCGGGTGCATCGGAGCAGGAGAGAGAACAGTTACACCTTCTAAGTGTTGATAAATATAATTATCTATCCAAAACTGGTTGTAGTGTAGTGCCTGGTGTGGATGAACAGTATGAGTTTTCAAGATTAAAACAATCCATGGATATGGTAGGTTTTACTTTGGACAAGCAGCGAAGGCTGTTTGCTGTGCTGTCAGCTGTGCTCCTTTTAGGTGAGTTTATCTAATTTCTTCTTATCTTGATTGATTTCCAAGTGCTTTAAAACTCCATAAAGTAATTTAAAGTACTTTACTAAAGTCTTATCATATTCTTTATCTAATAACTTTGCTAAATGGCTCTACAACTAGCAAAAATTTTCTTATCTTCAATGTGTCACCTAAATATAAATATTTAAAGGCAAACATCAACCAGTTTAATGAACTTGTTTACTATCATATTTTATTAATTTTCTAAATAGGTTTAACATTGAACCTATTTAGATATTTTTTTTGATGAACCAATGAACAATGCTTGTCGTTTCCAGTGGCTGTACCCATAATGTAAAAAATGGTATAACCAGGCTCTAACAAAATAATCTTCCGTCATTTCTATGAATTTTGTAGATACTAACTCCTAATACATTATAGTATTCCTGATATAATTAAGTTTTAAACTTTAAGAATACATCAGTCCATATCAGTTCATTGCTAGACAACCCAACTTTTCATTCAACTTATCTGTTAACTTATATCACATAGTACTTTTTACTATTTTTATGACACTTTTCTCATTTATCTAGGTAATGTCGAGTTCCAACCTCAACGCAAGTCGTACCACCACGACGAGGCGGTGGGCGTGCGCAACCCCGAGGTGGTCTCCCTCATCTCCTCCCTCCTAAGGGTCAAGCAGGAGACTCTTCTTGCCGCACTCACCTCGAAAAGGGCGAGGGCGTCCGGAGAAACCCTTGTCATAAACTACAGGTTTGTTCATTAACTTTAGAAACTCTTGTAATTACCTTATAATAGAAAACAGAAATATAACAGAAAAATTACCCATGCAACTAATGATTATAAAATCTGTCCTTCTTTTTTAAACAATTTAGTTGTGCATGTTTTAATCCAATATAAGGTAAATGTGTGTTACCCTTACTGTGCCATTATTGTATAGATTGGATATGTTAATATTACTACCTGTATCATATCAAGGCATACAAGATCAATGTGATTAACAATATAGAGGAGGAATACACTTAGGTATTCCTGCTTCAAATTGATAGTAAGAAGAGTAATGATGGATCACATCTGCCGTGTTTATTAATATGATTGTATGTTACTTCCAGATTGCCGGAAGCTATAGCGACTCGAGATGCGATGGCAAAGTGCCTTTATGGTGCTTTGTTCGACTGGATAGTGATGCAAGTCAACCATGCTCTACTCTCCAAAAAGGATACGCTGCGGGAACATCAGGGACATAGTATAGGTTAGTTACTTCAGTTCTATTAATAAGTGTAATAAATCTACACTAATATTAGCAAATAGCATTTTGTATGTTTGTATCATTTAAACTTAAAAGCTAATGGACTGATTTAAAAAAAAATTACATAATTAAAATGAGTTATTATTCCCGAGTAACATAGACTAAAATAATTTTGAAATATCGTCATAATTTCATAAACAATAATAAAAGTATATTCTACATTTATTTGTTTACTAATATATGTAATGATTAACTTTGCAGGGGTTCTGGATATATTCGGTTTCGAGGACTTCGGTCCCAACAACAGTTTCGAGCAGCTGTGCATCAACTATGCGAACGAGCACTTACAGTACTACTTCAACCAGCACGTGTTCAAGTATGAGCAGGAGGAGTACCGGCGCGAGGGCATCCGCTGGACAGACATCGGCTTCTCAGACAACACTGGCTGTCTGCAGCTCATTGAGGGCAAGCCCAGCGGCCTGCTGTGTGTGCTTGATGATCAGTGCAAGTTAGTTTTTATTATAAACACGAAAGTTTTGATTTATGTTTGTTGTCAGTTAACTCAGGTATGAATTAAATTAATTTAAAAGAAATAAAATGCAGACTACATAATTAAGAAAGAAAGCATAGGTTAGTTTTTATCCTGCAAAACCAGTTGCATGAGATAAAGTGGTTTTCATTTATTACATAATAATTCCACAGCAAAATATACTCAGTTTTGGGACGCTAATTTTTTTTAGAGTTTTTCTCTTTGCTTATAGTTATTGTAAATATTTTCAGTTTCCCATGGGCCACTAATGAGACATTGTTACAAAAGTTTAACTCTGTACATGAAGACAATCCGTTCTACGAGAAACCTCAGAGGAGAGAGCCTGCGTTCGTAGTGCGACATTACGCTGGCAGAGTTAAATATCAGGTACAGTAAATAACATATTAGAAACTTCCCGCTATAATAACGATACGTGTAAAACATGGCATAAGCTTAATTTTTTAACCAACTTCAAGGAGGAGAAGGTTATTATTCTTCTTTACTTTTTTTGTCGATTAATTATGTCCAGTGATGGATGTCGTATTATGAATGGCTTTAAAAAAACAATATTACTACTTAACCTCGTGAATAGGTCACATATAAACTTTACGACGACATATGACATACTTTATTGTAATATTTTCGTTATAGGTGACAGCAATGAGGGAGAAAAATCTAGATCTAATGCGACAAGACATAGTGAGCGTGTTGAAGAATTCCTCGCTGGCTTTCGTGAGGGAACTGGTCGGTGTTGACCCTGTTGCTGTGTTTCGTTGGGCGATTGTACGCGCCTTTTTCAGGTAAAAAATAATTACCCTTTTTTGTTTTTAATAAAATAAATATAGCATAAACTTTTCAAAACGAACTTTTACCTATGTTATTATATTTTCTTCCTTTTTTTAAAACATTTTTTTTTACTTTTTCAGAGGTTACTTTGCATTCTTAGAAGCGGGCAGAAGACACCGAGTTCACAGGGTAGATGGCGCCTCTAGAGTGCCACGACCTTCCATACAATCTGTCAACGATAACATTATTAGGTGAGCTTATTTGCCCACAAATATAGAATTGTGCACAGATTGAATTAGAGTAAAAACAAGAATGATTTGACCGCAACGTGATATTAACATTGAACACTGTCGTTATGCTTGTATTCGTCTCTGTTTTATCAAAGATTATAAGAAAGTTGAGTATAGTCAGACAAGGATATCTGACCCGGTGTAAGAGGCTACTTTCTACTAAAATGACAGGCATAAAAATTGACGTGACAGGTACAATAGGACGTATTGTGACATTTTTTAATACTGACAGAGGAACGTTAGTGAGCTATAGTGAAAAATTCTTGTCTAGTGATGTCAGGAAATATGGAATGGATGGATAATGTAGGTTTTAGGTCGTAGAAAATGGTATAAAAGGAAGGGCTAGTGAACTATTATTATTATATTTAGTTTCACTTATGCCCACCGGGCCAGATATCTCTGTAAGTCTATAATATAATTTAGTTTGATTTATGCACACCGGGTCAAATAACTTTATCGGTCTGTACAAGTATATCGAGAGTGGACGAAAGTAACATAGTTTAGTTGGACACAATATGAAATGAATGTCCATATAGAATGATATATGTAGGTATACGTAAAGGCTACATAAATGTAAGCTTGTGCTAATAACGTTGTGATGTAATGATATGTCTTGTTGCTCAGCCAACTGGTGACAGTATCGTCAATCAATCTTGCAATCAACCGCATTGCGTAAGTCACACAGTTTACGGCATGCCTCTACTATACTTGTATGCACTTAACGCATGCTTCTACATGTTTTATATATACTGTTACAAACCCTTTTTTTTGTTTAGTACACAAGACTGTGATTAGATAGATTTTGTTGTATAGCCCATTACTGTGCCATATCATAATCCTTTGCAATAAGCAACTATCTCTAAGTTACATTTTACAAAATGCAATTGAAAATTTTGTTATATTATAGAGATAAGTAAAACAGACTGGATGGTGTTAGGCTCGTAGAAAAAATAAAGTTTGTCTTTGACATCTAATGACAGTCTTGTGATTTAGAAGGTTACGCTACTAGCCATACCGATGTCATATAACTACTGTTCACTTATAGTAACGGCACATACCACGTTCCAGCACGATGCATGCGTGTCATGACGCACCAGTTTATTTATAATTTTTGTTACATTAATTTATAATATCGCAATTTGATTTCGCGCGGATACGATGAAGAACGCCACACAGAGCGGGCAGTAAGGTGTGCGTGCGCAACAGCGCCGGCAACAGCGAGGGTAGGCAGAGCGGCGCGCGCGGCGGCGCTCGCCCCGCCAAACATTACAGGATCGCCGAGATGCGCACGCGCCGCCTCGACCGCGACCTTGACGACGCCGACGTCATGCAGCGCGCCAGCCAGATCGTCCTGTACGTGCCCGCCCTCCGCCCTCCGCCCTACGTCCTACGCCCTACGCCCTCTATGCCTCGCACAGTACCTTCATCAAACAAAATAACTCTTCACTAAAGCCACAACACGACGGGAGCGCAAATGGTTTATGGTACTTTTTTATGAAAAAAAATAAAATACCAAACCGAACTTAAAATTTCCGGTTGTTGTCATAATACTCAAAATATGAAAATCAAATATTTAATTCCCCAAATAATAATTGAAAAACCTAAAAAATCGGCAATAATGATAATATTCGGATATAAATATTATGACGTCTTCATTTTTTTTTGTTTATTTTTGATTTCATTTTTTTTAAATTTTGTTTGATGAATCATCTTTCGGTTGCGGTTTCACTTCTTCTATCGGTGATGGCTTTATAGTTTTAATTTTCTTTGTACTCATGTATTTGTGAATAATTAAATATGTTGTGTAGTTGTTACATATTGCGACGGGAACTATGTACTTATGTGCTTATATGTTTATTATGTGGGCTTACATTTATGGTGAAGTAGTTATTATATATGCTATTTTTATTTCTAACATTTATTTAATCATAAATGTAACAAATTTTATATTGTATTTCATAAAATTGTTATTTATTAGATATTGGGCTAATAGCTTTGATTAGCTTTAAGTATTATCAGAATCAGACTATAAATAAATTCTATTTGGATTTTTTTTCAGCACTGAATAAAATGGGCATATTGTTATTTTTATATATTTTAGCATGCTTAAATTTCTTGGTGGTTGGGTAGTTTTAACATTAAATGATTATTTTGAGTGTTAACTTTGGGATTGGCAGGAAGAACAAGTCGTTCAGGCCCAGAGAGCGCGCTAAAAAGGGTCTTAAGAACTTACAAAGTGTGAAGACTTTGGCGGGACGTACAGCGGCACCTGCAGGCAAAAGAAAGCAACCTTTGACTGTAGCTGCTCAGTTCCAGCATTCTTTAGCTGCACTAATGGAGACTTTGAATCAGGCTAATCCGTTCTTTATAAGGTTTGTTGGTGTTATGATTTTTTTTATCTAATATGATTTGTGATAGCCAGTGGAGTGTTCATGAACGTTTCATGTTCTTTCGTAACTTTTATATCTATAAAATACGAAGATTTATTGTCTACGAATTCATTTTTGTTAAATAGTGTTCAATTTGATCAAACAACGTCTGTTTTTCTAGATAGCTCTCTTATAATTTGTAATTTCGTATTAATTCAATAGTGTAATCGAATTTCAATGAAGCACTTAAAATTTCCAACCACAGATGTATAAAATCCAATGGCGACAAGATATCGAACGTTTTCGACGAGGATACCGTCCAACGTCAGCTGCGGTACACTGGCATGCTGGAGACAGTGCGCATCCGTCAGGCGGGATACAATGTGCGTCTCACGTATGAGGAGTTTATACAGCTCTACAGGATCCTACTGCCCAAGGGTCTGCTCAGCTCGCAGGCAGACGTCCGGCATTTCCTAGCCACATTGAATCTAGATAGAGATAATTATCAAGTCGGTAAGTACACTGTATACGTCTTTAATAGATGTGAAAGTAGATTCGTGACATTTATCATAAATAAAACCATTTGTATATTACAGGGGCTACGAAAATCTTCATGAGAGAAAGTGAGCAGAGAAAACTGGAATACCGATTGCATCAACAAATAATGGCGTCCATAATCACGATCCAGCGCTGGCACCGCGCGGTACTTGAGCGACGTCGCTTCTTAGCGTTGCGCCGTGCTGCGCTTGTTATACAGGGATATTGCAGGTACAACATACGTGCATACTCAGAATGGTAACTCTAGCGTTAAGTGTAGATTTTTCATAATAAATTTACGCTAAGAATCTCCCTTAGTGACCTCTAAAATGATACTTGGTTGTATTGTTTAGCATTAACTGGTGATTTAAGCACAGTAGGACGATAATCGATCTGATTAGACCAACTTGTAACAGTTCGCTTTATCTTAAACGTTCATTGGAATTCAAATTATAAAAATAAAATGGTGTTTTTTTTTAATTTAAGAAACAAACGCAGTAGAAATAGCAAGATCAAGCTTGTAATAATTAAAAATACGAACGTTTCCAGGCAATGGTTGGCATCACGACAGGATGCGGCGACTCGACTACAAGCGTGGTACCGCGGCGCGCGCGTGCGGCGCTGGTACGTGTCGCTGCGGACCGCTGTGGTCGCCTTCCAAGCGCACGCGCGCGGAGCACTGTTGCGCCGCAATATACCGCGCCTCAGGACAACACGCCCATCGCACTGCGCCCCGCCCACAACCGTGACAACACAACACAATAACTCGGTACACTTTGCCCTATGTTATATAGTCACTAACAAAATGTACATGACATACAATTTGTCAAAATGAACTTAAGTAGTGCCTTAAAAAAATGCCTTATGAACGAGGTACTAATGTTTTGTTTTCCCTTTATGTTGATTGTTGGGAGTATGTTAATATAGTTTAGTCCGTTTTTAATTTTGTCATATCATCAGTGTTAAAATTGAATACACTTAAAATGGTAGTAATGATTAAAGTTTTTTTTTACCACATACATTTTGTACATACATTTCGTTGATACATTGTGTGTGTTGACAGCATGAAGGTAGTGCAGCCGCAGAGTACGCCGCGCCTGACTTCGACAAGAGCATGCTTGTGCTTAAAAATATTATGGATCTGTGAGTACACGTACATACATTTTCACAACATTATAGCTTGAAATTACTTTGGCACCCCGAACTTTACAAACTGGATGTTAATCGATAAACAAAAAATGATAAATAATCTATATTAAATTATTTTTATGGCTGTTTTGGCATATGCATTAATTTCTTAGTATCACATCTAATCAGATTTGTTTTTTGTTGTAGAGATGCATTGTTCGATGGTTCAGCGAGCGGCAGAGCTTTAAGGGCGACATACTCTTTGCCCGTTGATAGGTATGTATTAAACATAACTTATGTATATTTTTTAACTATAAGTGTGTTTAAAAAAAACTACGTGTTCCTATTCTAGTTGGGACAATAAACACGATTTGGAGAACATAATTGCCAAGAATCAAAAGAAAAGGATCTCAAAAACGCAGAACGTCAACGAGTTGCCGCTCAAACAGTCTAGTACAAGGTATGTATGCCAGTGTTATCATTTCATTTTTATTCTCTCGTACAGTAGGGATTTTTTTTTAATTTTGTGTATTTTGTAGTTCAATAAATGAAGAGACAAACGAGTCGTCACCAGAGGAGAGCTGGCATGTGGGCAAGTACCCGGGAGGCGCAGTGGCTGTGCCCAGCAAGATCACCGCTGACGACATCGCGCACGAGCTGCTCTGGCTCAAGCTGGACCGCGACTACATCATTACTGAACGAAACAAGGTCTCATACATTGGTTATATCTCAACACGTACAAGAATACTTCAACTCTAAGAAATACCAAAAAATACTTACCAAATTAAGTTCGGCCGAGAAAATATTATAATAAGAAATTAGATTGTTATTAAATAAACGTGTGATGATTTAGAAACGAGAGCGCGAATTGGCGGAGTCCCTGGCCAGCAGCAGCGAGGAGTACCTGAGGAAGGTCAGCGACTGGAATCAGGCCGACGGCGAGGATGCCAGTCTCAATAGCATCAGGTACACATACTTTACACTATTATCTTTAAGAAAGCTAATGGTTGTTTGTACCTGCTACTCTTCGAAATGATCAGTCCGAGTTAAACAACTCTTTTTTTCATCAAGTCTAACATTTTTTAAAGATTGTTTTAAAGTCATTGAATTTAGGAACATATTTGAAATTGTAAAACTTAATTTTTTACAGTAAGGCGTCACCTCAAATGTACCAACGCAGCCTGTCGAGCCTGCTGAGCCTGCCGCCCGTGCGCCGCGCACCCAGAGAGCACGCCCCCGCACCGCACCCCGCCCACACCGCGCACCGCCCCGCACATGATACCAACTCTGATGCCGGTAGCATACAATACCCTTCATATACTTGTTACAATTAAATATCTTCACACTCTCATTACGTAGAAGTAGGCAGACATACTGAATTTCCATGCCATGAGTGATGATGCTAGTAAGCATACTGATTTGATATATAAAGGTCGGTTATTAGTTTTTATTATGTCATTAACTCGTAATTATAGCAAATAACAACTTTATTACTAATAAATATCGCAAGTTCCATTCAATTGAAATATATTCATGCGATTTCAAATATTTCCAAATATAATAACAATCTGTTTTGGAATTCCTAAGTAAAAACTGTCAAGAATTGTTTGTTTATAATGCCTAAAATGAAACTACAGAATTGAAAGTTTAGCTAAAATCGAAGTTTATTAGTTAATTTTTGTTTCAGTAATCATGGCACCATAATAATTATATTTAAAATAACATGGTGCGAAATAACAATAGCGTTGCAGACGTAAACACACAATTTGAAGCCATTAAAAGGATTAACTTTTATTGTAAACAAACAATATTTCAAATCTTTTTTACAATACAATTGGTCATTAATAAATTACGTAGCTATTGTGAATGAGCTAATGCTTATACAAATAACATTTTTCCTACATTTAAAATGATATTACTAAATACATTTTATAATTTTGACTCGCATTTGCAACTTGGATTTGATATGTGAAACATGACAATTATGGTGTCTTTTATGGAAGGTTCTAGAAAGAACGCTCGTGATATTTACAGTTTAGCTATCGTGTTGACTTTACTTATGTTGTCTTATTGTGGTCTGTGTATAAAGCTGATACTTTATTATGGTGAGTTAAATCATAAATATTGTTATAACTTTTCATAGACAAAAGTTAGCGAAATGATACAATGTCAAAAATCCCAATGTCGATATTAATACAATCATAATATCGTGTAAACATATTTCCAACTAAAATGTTACCATTTATTTAAACTTATGTTTAGTATTATTGTGATTCCAGCATGCGTGTCAGCGCAGCGTGTATCGGAGGGTGGTTCTGCGCCTGCGCCGCCCGCGCGTGCCAGCCGGCGGTCCCCGCGTGCCGCGCCGCCTGACCGCGCTGACCTCGACCCCAGCGACCGCACTGACGCTGCACCCCGCCCGCTGCCTCTCCCACTGCCTGACAGGGACATGTTAGTATCCATAATAACTTATAAGTATAAATGTTTTCACGTAACTTGACAGCTCTTAACATCGCGTGAGTTGCTGCGCAGAACAGAATTTTAAGTGTGTCGAGGCGTAGCCCAGGGCGCCGATGACCTTGTGCTGCTAAGATTTTTGAAAAGACTACCATTACGATGTGGATGATGAATTGTTCTATCGCATTAATATTCAACTTTGTTAGTAGTAGAACGGAGTCGAGTTTGGCGCGGCGGCGTCGCAACTCAGACCCGGCACCTGGAGCGCCCGAGCGACGCCCTGAACTGGTACCCGAGCTGCGCCCCGCCGACCCACGCTCCACTGACTACATTGGACAGACAGGCAATGGCCTGTTCCGGATAGCGGGACACAGGTATACACAAATTTTGAATATCATCTATATTAGGAAATAAATATAAACTGAAAAGAGTTTGAACTTTGAATAATCATCATATACTTAACAATATCTATAGATATGTACATATCAATTTTGACTGACTGACTACGTCGTCTCCTCTGTTCCCAGGTTTCGTAAAGGCACACGTTTCGCGAAGGGCGATAAATGTGTATACTGTCATCAGGCAATCGACGCTTTCATCACACAAGGTCAGCGCTGTATCGACTGCAAACAGCTCTACCACACCAAATGCATACAGAATAAGGGTGTCATTACAATGCCCTGTTCCAGTCCAGTAACAATATCTCCCAGGGGACGACATAAATATAGAAAGAGAATTATAAAAGACTCAGCGTATAATTCCTTATCAGATCAGTCTAAGAGTTCTGTGAGCTCTAACTTCAGTCTGACAGGAACTTCAGAGTTCATGGACAGAACGGACAAGATAATATCCGACGCGACTGAATTGCAAGCGATGCAGAATTTTATCACGAAGAAGATATATCAAATGGAATCCTCAGAGAATGAGAAACAATCTGAGGTTTGTATATTTTTATGAAGAGAAAATATTAGTTAATTTTATTGTAAAATGAATGTTGTCATAAGAAATTTAAGGACGATACAGTTTTTTGTAATATTACAATCATTATCGATCCATAAGAAAACACTGCATTGTAATGACTATTATCTTCTTTCTTTTCTCAATTTGTTAAGGCAAGATTCTAACAAGAGAATGAAACAAATAATGTTTTAATGGTTATATTTTCCAAATAGGTTGACAGAGTATTCAAGCACGCACTGCGAGAGTTCAAAGACAACCTAGTGGCCACCTACAGCGTGGTGGAGACTCGGGGCTCGGCGCTCAAGTACAAGGACCTGATCGGTAACTTCCTGCACGTGATGGAGACAGTGTGCGCTCGCGAGGGCTCCACGCTCTCCATCACGATGGGAGTCAACGCCTTCAGAGGATTCATGGACGAGTTCATGAGCCAACATGAAACTGATAAAACGAGGACTAAGAGGAAAAAGGATAAGAAACGAAAAGTAAGTTCTAAAGATACATTTCAATTACTTAATCTTTACGTAAAATAAGTCATAAATGTTATAAAAATGCTTCAAATATATTGTTTTATATGAAATATATCTTCTTTAGTAAAAAGATATAAAATGTTGTTTGCAGGTGGACGAACCGATCCAGTACAAGGGACATACATTCATACTTTGTATGATCAATATCCCCACAGAGTGTGAGATCTGCAAGACGTTCTTCATGTGGCCCATCGAGCGCTCTCTCATCTGTCAGATCTGCAAGCTCACCTCGCACAAGAAGTGCTATATGAAGGTATCATATTTGCATACCAAATCGTACCGTAATCGTTGAATCTTTTTGGCAATGTAGAGAACAGGAGTACTTGTATTATTTTGTGTAGTATACCTTTTTATATGTTTACTAAAGTTCATATGCTTACTAAGGATTGAATTCAAGTGGATAGTACATTTAAACATTGTTTCATATGATTGTGTGCAGGTGACGACGCACTGCAGAAAGGACTCTGTGACGCCGGGCGCAGCCATCGTGGGCGCAGTAGACGCGGGCGGTAGAGAGCAGCTTGGCGTACTCAGGCGTGGAAAGGTCAGTTTACTTGAAACTATTGAAACTGTATACTTCACGAATCCTACATTTTACATTGCGTTTGAAAAATATTTTATGTGGAAAAAACAATATTATAGTTTGTATTGATGGTATTTTTGCTGAAGGTATTCGGTGTGCCGCTGGGCGAGCTGCCGACGGGCGAGGGCAACATCCCCATAGTAGTAGACAGGCTGATCACCACCATTGAGATGACCGGTCTTTATACTGAAGGATTGTACAGGAAAAGTGGACTTAGTTCTAAGGTTTGTTCCTGCTTGATTCTTATAAAAAGACCATTGTTTTGTATTTTATGTTTTCTTTAATATTTATTACTTTTTTTTAACCTTATTAATGTTATAAATGTGAAGGTGCGCGAGCTGTGCTGGCTGCTGGACGAGCGGCCGCAGGAGGGCGTGGACCGGCTGGAGTCGTACGCGGTGCACGTGCGCGCCTCCGTCCTCAAGAGCTTCTTCCGTGAGCTGCCCGAGCCGCTGCTCACCTTCGACCTCTACGACGACTTCATACTCGCCGCTGAGATAACGGACCCACAGGTACAACACATCACACGTCATGTCATCACTTCTAACGTCATGTCACTAACGTCATACGACACGTCACGTTATGACTATTCACGATACTGCTCTCTAAATACATGTATATTGATATATTGATGAATTAAACATAATTTTGACAGGAACGAGTATCAAGTATATTTACGATACTAAAGAAATTGCCAAAACCAAATTTTGATCTTGTGGAGAGATTGATATTTCACCTGGCGCGGGTGGCATTGGGTGAACATCATAATAGGTGAGTTATGCTAGTATTTGAATAAAGTAGAATTATAATTTTTTGGGTACACCGTTTTTAAATTCTAAACTAAGATTCTTAGTTTTATGAATGTGATAAATTATTCCACAGTCCCTTACAGCTTAGAACAATTTTATGAGTAGTGATTGACTGTGTGTATGTTCGCAGGATGGGTCCGAACGCGTTGGCGATAGTGTTCGCGCCGTGCATACTGCGCACACACAAGGTGCAGCCGGCGCAGGACTCGCTGCACGACATCGCGCGACAGACCGCCTGCCTGGAGGCCATACTTGTTGACAAGATGCGCACTGTTAGTACAACAACGATACGTTACATTAAACCCTTCTAAGCCACCATGATATCTGAAACCGACACTTTAATGTATGTAGTCAAAACTTATTCATCATATTAATTGTTTGTTGTGTTTAGGTGCGCGGCATGCTGCAGGACATCGCGACTCTGGACACTGCGAGCCACACGGCCTCGTACCGGCTGCGCACGCTGCGTGACGCCGCTCATCCGCGCGCTGAGCAGCAGCTGCTGGAGGGACACATCAGCGAGATTGAGAAGGAGAAGGCCATACTCACAAACAACCTGCCAACTCTCATACGGTACATAGTTACATAGTGTCTAGTGCAGTTATGTCTTTCTATTACCACTAGCTGTCGCCCGCGACTTCATCCCCGCGAAATTAAAAAAAAATCAATAGCCTACGTGTTCCTACAGGCTATGTTCTACATATACACCAAATGTCATCGAGATTCATTGAGCCGTTTTGCAAATACTTCTTACTTCTTCAAACATCCATCCATACATTCAAATGTATATTATTAGTAAAATGTAATGTATAACACACATTTGCATTTAATTTCAGGGCGACATCTGACGACGACCTGCTGTCGACGACGGACCACGATGGTGAATTCGGCAGTACTGATGACCTGAGCACCGGGTCTGCGTCACTACGATCGCGGCTGCTGCACCGACAGCTGTCCTCTGATGATCCAATCATGGTGTAGCATCACGAAAGCCACGTGCCCTGAACATTGATACTGTATATCCACAAAGCCTTAGGGCCCACGGGCCTTATGACCTTTGTACAGTCATTGGACCTTCGTAAACGGACGTCGAGTATTTTGTCTTATAGTAATGGTGAAGTAGAAAAACGCTAGATCATATAAAAAGTTATTAAACCTATTTTATGTTCATTTTATATCAGATTATTTCGATTAATTGATATCCATATTTGTGTATAGGAATACATTTTTTTTGAGAATCTTATTGTTAAAATTGAAATCTGTTTTAAATCTTTTTAATTTAATAATGATAAATCTTATAGCAAAATGAACGAACTATAGGTTGCTTGCTTGCATTGAAATGGAATTAAAATTTTTAGTACAGTAATAGCGGTACATTACTACGGCCATTGATACAAAATCGTATTTATTTTCTACGAACATAACTAAGTACTGTAAGTGTAGATCTAGATTATTCTTGTAAATATATTAATGTTTTACAATGCAAATATAGATTTTAATATATTGTAACCGGTGAATTCACATTTTATTTTAATTTCGATGAGGTCAATAGACTTTGAAACTAATTTTTTTCGTGTTTAGTTAATATTTTGGTTATACGAACTAAAAGACGATCAAATAGGTCAAAAAAAACTTCGTAGCTTTATACATCACGCGTTATAGTCAAAAAAATCCGACAAAAATTTTGTTTATAAAATACAAGGGCTAGAATTAACTAAAAAATACGAATTTTAAATTTATTTGTTTTAAACAAGCTCAATGTAATTATTTGTAGACTGAATTTACTTTTATCATTTTAACAAATAATGCTTAAATAATTTTTCAACTACCTACAGTTTGCTCTCCGATTATATTTAATTCTACCCACATTTCCCCACTTTGCGGCAATATCTTAATGTTCAAATTATAGATATAATGTAAATGATATGCTGATTTGAGTACATTTATATTAGTTATTGTGATATAGAAATTAAATCGCTATAAGTGCAAAATATATACAAAGATTATTAACTGGAATTAGGAAGCAAAATATAGTTTATAATAATTTTACAACTAAATAACTGCTGTACGATTTTATTTCATTCGGAGACTAATTAGTTTTCAAATTGTTATTATGATTTCTAAACAAATATACAACATAAGTGTTTGTGTAGAAAGAAATGACGTCATTAAATAATTTCGCAAGACTATTTTCTTCGCTACCTAACAGAAAAGAAGTATACGTAAATGCGTTGTATTTCCCTTTCATGTTATCGTGCCCGCGTTGCATACATTATTCCAGTGGTTCTCTTCTGTATCTTGCCTTATTTTACTTGCTCATATTTTATTATTATATTTGATTAATTAAGCAATATCAAAACTGGTGTTTGGATAAATTTTTTTGTCAATATATTTTTACAATTTAATATTTTTAGGGAGCTTAAGGAACTTCGCGCTAGATTTATACCCGGTTTACGTTATTCCAGTCCAGCGATCAAAAAGAGCGTTGGGTTACAACCTACTCAGTGCATTCCAGTGTCTGTTAACACTTTTCCAGTTGTAATCCAATGTAGATTTTAATCGTTGGACTGGAATAATATGAACGGGACGTAATACCCAAAATGTATGTTATAATAAACATGAGATTATCTTCCTATTGTAAATTACTTGTTTTGAAACATGTTTTATATTTATAGAGAATTTGTTATTGGATCTTCATGTGATTGTTAATTAAGCCATATGTATGTCAGGGCTATTAGATTTATTTTTTCTAATATTATATTGTTGTTATTGTGGAAAACAATCCTTCCTCAATACATTGTGCACTGGTTATGTTGTATCATTTGTTGCACACATTTGTTTGAGATAAAATATTACTTATTATATTTCAATGTAAATAAGTTCGATAATCGAATTTATAACAAATTGTTCGAGATAATATTTCAAATTAATCATATTTTTACTTTATTTAATGCATGGATGTCAATTTTTATCTAATTTCACAAAGACCATAGATGCTAGTATTTTTACGTGCTTATACAAAATCCTTGTGACTATATCTTGCAATGAATGAATATATCTTGAATATATATTGCAGTGTGTAACGGCCTTTATATTATACATGTACTGTAAATTATTTACATATACCCACACATTTTTACAACGCAAAGAAGTGTCACTAGCAAGAAGCAAAGTACAGTAGACTGAGGAAGCATTAGTTATGTTAAAATCTGAATAATTCCTTATTGTGTCTTAAGGTGAATATACACTAGAGCATTGTCGCGAACATTTCTATGTAATGTAACGTTTTTACGAATTGTATGTTATAGGTAAAATCAATTTCAAAAGCATGTGAGGTTCATGAAAGGGTCTTGAACATATAGAGTGGCTCGTTGTTCTGTTAGAAGTAAATGCTCCAGTCTTTATTCACCTTTATGTTTAAAAAAAAACTTGCAAATTTACTTAGTAACAGCTTATGTGAACAAATACGCCAACTGTTGTAACTGTACCTTGCTTTTATTTGCTGTTATTATCTAAAAGACTGTCTATTGATAAGCTATTGAATGTATTGTTAAGTCACAAATACTGTGTCCGCTTTTAAATAAGTCTATATAGAATAGTACTTGCTTAGTATTTCATACAACGAACTTCTGTGAAAACCCCTGTTTATCGGAACTGCTTTAATTCCCAAACTGTAGGCTGTAGGTTATTGTTAGTAAACATTTTTCTTAATAGAATCTCGACTTAGTTCATGACAATCGGTTCATTGTAGCTGTAAGCTTTGCTGAGAACAAAGTTTCCGAATGGGTTATGATGTTTGTGTGTAGTTTGTATGTACCTTCGTGCCTTCACTTGTTTGCTTTCAGCATTCCACGTTGTCAATACGCTGTTATTCAATGTTTTTCGTTGTCCTAGATGAACAAAATGTGTCAAACAATCAAATTTTTTATCAAATATGTTTAAAAAATATAATTTTTAAATGTTTAATTTATGAAAAAAGCGTCTAATAAGGCTCATGCTATCAAATTTTGAAAACCCGTTAGGTTTGATAGAAAATTTGATTGTTTTCAGAGCTAAACTGCTGTCAAACAATTTCATTTAGTGGTCATCGCTCACCTGGGACAAGTTATACTACTGTCATTCAAAGGGTATGGAGAAACAATTTTGACTTTTATGTGGTGTTTATTGTAGAATTCAGAGTACCATGTTGGCATACTCATACTGGATGATTAAGTTATGTTTTAATAAATGTGCAATTTGGCTTCAAGGTGAAGAATGGCTGGCGTGCATGTAGATAAGTCTTAATATTCCCCTGTGGATGTTGTAAATACCACTATGTTAAACGAGATTGTAATGCTGTGTTAGTCTTATGTTCTTTTTTAAGTATTTAAGCCATTATACAATTATTTGCTGTAAAAAAATATTTTTAAAATATGGTGCAAATAACATCAATCATTTGGTTGAATAAATCTAAAATTAATTGCATATAAAATTTTACTATTTTAAACTGCAAATTGGGTTGCTTAGAAGAATTAAAAACAAATCTATCTTTTATAATGATTATAAACAATATTTACTGTGGTTATTTTAACTTTTTGTAGATACTGTTTTGAAAAAGAATTATTGAACTTCGTATTCTCTAAGGACCAATGCCGTATTCTCTACTATTTTAATGAACTTTTTAATGTTTGCTGTACTTTTTTGTTTGTAACCTGTATTATATATATAACTAGTTAAGTAACATGTATATTGTTTAAATTTTAGGACTCTATGATGTCAATACAATGAAATGTAACCAAACCATTAAACTGTATACAAATATAAAAAAATAAACAATTTGCTGTAGAAATCTTATTTTTATTACTGAGATGTTTCAATATCCATAGGTTCATTAATTTCTTTGTCTGTAGTACCTGGCAATACCTGTAGAAATGCCGGGACTTTTCCAATAGGACATTTAGACCAATAATGATTCTCAAAGATTTCCAGCTTCCATATGCCACAAGTTATTGGTTCGTTTGGTGAGTCTGGAGCATTTGCGTATATCTCTATCTCTTCATCAACTTTTTTTGCAAAATGCTTATCTGTTGCCACTTTAACATCGAAAACCGTAAATACCTTATTTGGTTCCTTTTTATCAAATTCTTTCATAGGAGATGCTATGATAGTTGTAAGATCACATATTTTCTCAGATATTTCCGCAGGTAGCGGTGGTTCGAGAATATTCAAAATATCCTTAATGAAATAAGTTAGATAAACATTGTAAGTTGATAAAAAAGGCCGTATCCTGTTTATAGAGGTCAAATTTTTTGGTATAGGCATGAATAAATCTAATAACAGACCACAGCCCCTTTCATTTGGAAACCAGTGGTAAAAAAGTGACTTCAGTTCACTTTTCTTTTTTTTCTCCATATAATGAGATGAATTTCTGAAAAAAAAATTTTGCATTGTTAATCAAAAAGAATATTTTTAACACAAGAAAAACATTAATTAATTTAAATATTGACATTTTAACCTAAGAAAATATAAACAGAACTAGTGACACAGAGAAGATATATTATTACAAAAATGTTTCAACAACAGATATTAATTAGGTTTTACTATTAAAATTATGTAGTAAAATCACACTATTAGGTATAATTAGATGACCTATGCTACTTACTTGTTCATCCTTTTAACAAATTGGCTTGATTTTTTTAATGCTTTCAAAATTTCTGATGTCCACAATGCAGCAAGCCGGCGCTTTTGACTGCTAAATTCACAATTTTGTGTGATTGTCATAAGCTCTATTACAAAGTTATCAAGTAGATCATTTGTATGTAAATATGTAAGTAATATTTCAAAACAATGAACATAATGTTTGCTCAAACTATATTCTTTCCTAGAACCATGTTCATTCAAAAAATTAAACAGATCCATTGACAAAAATAATGAATCCTTTCCCAGCAAAGCTTCATTCACAAGTGTATCTGTATTTTCGGATTTTAATAGACGCTTAGAATGTGTATTGATCAGATTGATTAAAGAAAGAATGGTAACTTTCTTCAAATTTGATAAATTTACAGAATCTCCAAATAATTCTTGTATATCTTTTATCATGGATTTTCTTATACTTTTGTCAGGAATGTCAGCTAACTTTTTAATTTTCAATTTAGTATGTGCACATATGCTCAATGTAAAACAGAAATTCATTAATATGCAAACTCTTTTTTGCTCATCATTCTTCAAATAATTATAACCGCAGATATAATCTTTAACAATTTCTTTATGTTTATCCCAGTAGTTCACCTTAAGCCATTCAAAGCCAATGGTTGTGGCCTCTCTGAGAAGTTCAATTGAAGGCAACACATTACCATGTGCAGTATCATGACGCAAGTCTATCATCCAGTCAGGCACTCCTAAGTTCTGAGCTGCTTTATACAAACTACTCCCTTTTGAGGTTTGCGAATCAAGCATATGATTTACAAATCTCATTAATGCAGTTGAATAAGCTAAGCGCATTATTTGTTCACCGACTGCATCGAAACTTTTAATATCTTGAATACTTACTTCTAGTAAAGTTAATGTAGATTCGATACCTGACGGCAATATACAACTTCTAGCTTTCCACACACGCAATAATTCAAGAGCGTCTTCTTTAGTGAGTTCAGTCGAACTTGGCGAATAGATATCCATATAGACTTTATTCCATTCTTTACTATCAAACCACGGCACGATGTTATAATAATCACTCATCTTAGTTAAAACAATATAATTTTGTAGGTAATAAAATATTTTTTTCTTTTATAAGCCTAGACCTGGCTTTTACCCAATATCTTTTCACCAGCAATGGCAGACACTTTTTCACATAGGCATGCAGCAGATGAGTAAATTATACATAATTATTTTATTTTTTGATTACTATATATGGTTATTTGGTTTTAATTAAAGGAAAACTAAAACAATTCACCACACGGTCAAGCACCGGCATACTCCACGCCTCGCTACACGAATGACACTGACAGTTTGCTGACACATGACAGTGGCAGGCACCAGCGGCACGTGTTTGTCAAACATTTTACAGAATATAAATAATTACCTAACAATTACAGATAAACGATTATAGGATATGCTCTGGTATCTTTCACTAGCATCTCTCATTTCGGGCAGTTTAATATTGTGCACTAGTTGAGAACAAATATATTTATTTCCAAAACCTAATTGTTTCCAATGCAAGGAAAAAAGTTTACTACAATCGAATTTACTTAAGGTACAAAACATCTTTAGTCTTCAAAACACCGCAAGTTTCATTATTTATTAAATAAAAGAAAAGGATAACTTTTAGGAAAAATAAAAATACACATAGAGTATTTCTTTTTAATAAAAAATCGATTTCAAAGCAAATGTTTGTATTTGTGTACAGTTAAAACGCCACATTCATCACAAATAGTCACAGGGATCTTTTTTATTGATTTATTTATTAATGTCTGTGCGTTGATATGTTTACTTTCCTTACAAAATCAATGAGTAGCATGTTGTCTCTTAATCAAGTTTAGTAAAAAACATGAACATGTTTTTTTTACAATACTTTATATTAATTTAAGTAGGAAATTAAAACTACTGGTCCTTAAGTATATCTGATTAGAATGACACAAATTAACAATTCTTTTATTAGGCTAATAAAAAAATTAATACTGAAACAATCATTAAATTATCATTATAAATGTCTTATACAAAATATTATGGATAACATTAGCTTATTATATATTTTAATAATATTATATCAACAGGAAATGTATTTTTGATACAGTATTTTATTTGAACTTATAGATATCGGCGTTTATTGATTATATATAATCAAGTTATATATAACTGCGTATTAGTGTGGCGTTTTAGCTGTTCACATTCTTTGACAAATTTATAAATGCACATTTTTCTAAGGTTTTGGACACGTACGAACAAAATAAAAAACAATGAAGCTTAATTGTCAAGTAACAAATTAAAATTGAATAAAAAAATTAATTTATTATTGATGTGAATCAAATTCGAAGTAAAATTAGTCTTGGGTAACGTTTTGACAGTGACGTTGACGCGGAAGTCGTCGTTTACTCTGTGGTAGGCTGGGAACAAAACAATGGCGGCTACGCGCGGTCAATGGAGCTACGTCTACACATACAAAGGAACATTATGAAATAACTACTTTCCGATATAAAAGAGTAATCTTAGTATGTACCATAATAAATATCTATCAATATATACTCTCCATCAACAAATATAATTTAATATAGGCAATAATATTATACGAATTTTTAAATCTATTAACGTTATCACAATATGAGTTTCGACGACATTATGCCGTCTATTTAAAAAGTTATGTTTCCGTTTGTAACCTTTTGAATATTTACAAACATCGCGTTCACTCTTATATATATTGTACATTTCGTCTTTTTATTGAAGAACAACTACTTATAGTGGAGATGAGGGCAGCGGCGCGCGCGGGCGCCGGCGTAAGTACGGGGCGGCCGGCTCTCACGAGATCCCATCCAATACTGAGGTAGTCCGGACACAATCGGACGTTTCGACGCGACGCCTCGCTTACAATTACAAAAATCATCACACAACATACCACCGATATTTAGATTTTACACTTTCTCACTGAACTGTAATATAACCCACACCCAGCGTCCACCGAAGGCACGCACGATCTCCGACATGAGAAAAAGCACATACAACAATCAATCACATATTCAACACACACTTATTGTTTACAATATTACAGTCTAAAAGTCTCGTCCCTCTCGGGTCAGGAGCGTTCACTCGCACAGGTTCGTACGCCTCAATAAGTTCTGCCGGTGCGCCAATAGCTCGCACCTCCCTCTATTTGGTGCCAGTTCATAAGTCTACCGAGTCGAGGTCTTGTTTCGGCGCTCTGGGCGATGGTGGCGAGGGCGGGGAGGGCGGCGAGTGGGAGGAGGCCTGCGAGGCGGGGGGCGTGGCCGGAGGCGTAGCGGGGCGCGGATGGAACTTGCCCGGCAGCGAGGCGAGCGCGGAGAGCGCGGCGTCTGCGTGCGGGATGCGGCGCATGATCTTTCCGGAGGTGATGAGCCGACCGAAGCCCTCCTGGTGCGCGAAAGCGTAGCCCGACCGCACAGAGCGACGAGCGCGGCGCGCGGAAGGCGTACGGGGCGCGGGCGCGCCGGCCCTCCAGCGCTGTCGCGCGCGCAGCCTCTCCGCCAGCGTGGGCCGAGTCCACGAGCTGGCCAGCCGCCAAGACACCACCGGCACCATCAGGATTATCATCTGCACAATCGTTATTGTTATTAGACGAAGTGCATTATGTTTATTTTCAGTAATTAAGAACAAATCAAAGTATATGTACTAACAGTGAGCACTGCTGTGAACCAGAAAGTGGCCTGCGTGAGGGCGACGGTGAGGGAGCCGACGTAGGGGCCGCCGATGACGTAGTTGTAGAAGTAGTCGAGCACGAAGTACGACACCAGCGAGCCCCAGATGGTCACGTGGTTGAACACCGTCCAGTATGTCGTGTCCAAGCAGATCTGAAACAATTACATTTGTGACGATGAAAAAAAAATTAAAATATTTTTCAACAAGAGTGGTGTAAGTGACCGGTACCTGGGTGGTGTTGTCAATGATCAGTATGGTGGCGACGACGCTGCCCAGCAGCATGTGGTCTGACAGTATCTTGCCGTCCGGCGCCAACCCGTCCTTGTATGTACCTGAACAAGTTGACATCTTGAGAAATAATGGTAGGTATAATAATAATAATAATTATAAGGATGTTTTGTTACTGAGGACGTTCAAAGAAGAAGATACATTGCGTGTACACGAACCGTATGGTATAAGGAAGAGCACTAGTGAGGTGAAGCAGCCGTGCAGCGTGGACTTGATGAACTCTGTCTTGTTGAAGAGGCGGCTGGTGTGTCCCGGCGCGTACAGCTTGGGGAACTGCAGCGCGGTGTTGTCGGACACGTCCTGCTCGAACACGCCCAGCGCCAGCACTGGCAGCGACGTGTAGAACAAGTTGTACACTGAGATGAACATCTCGTCGAACACGGTCTGCAAACAAATATTACTTCTATTAATTCATCTCTATAAATGGACTGGCTATAGGACGTAGTATTTTGTGCCTATTTGATTTTAACCATTTTAGCGCTGATAGTAGCAGTTTGTAGCGGTGGTGTGGATTCTAATTAATAGAATAATAGAATTAAGTGTCTCGTACCCTCAACAATTCTCTATCCATTTATCAGTGCCTAAATTAAACAAGGTTTTGTTGAATTTACATTATTTTAGGGGTAAAATGTAAAATTGTGAGTTATTACCTGTGCACTGAATCCGCAGAAGAAGGCGAACCAGAAGTGACAGACGGTGAAGGCAAAGTTTTTATAGAAGAAGTATCTGAGGAACTTGCACATGCGGTAGTATGACCAGCGTCCGTGCACCAGCAGCAGCCGCTGCAGGAAGCGGAACTGCGCAATGGAGTAGTCTGACGCCAGCACCGCCTGCATGCCCTCCTGACCTGATATACCCACACCGATGTGCGCCGCTACATGCAAACAAACAATATAGAATTTTAAAAAAAACTTAACTAGCCATAGTAGCCTATGTGTTCTTCCAGACATCTATGCCAAATTTCATCGAGATCCAATAAGTCGTTTTGGAGATATCTTTTAACAAACATCTATCCATACATCCAAATATAATATTAGCATATCGGGAACAATACATGGTTTGGTATCTCAAGTACTGTGGGTCGCTTTGAAACTTTGAATTCGTCCGCTGCGCATGCGCATAACATAATTTCCGATGTAAGCGGACGTAAAAGGATATAGAGGATGGACCAGTGACCAATTGTCAGTGTCAGTACACTGACAATTGACAATGAACCTCCAAAAATTTAACTAAACTACAATAGCTTACCTTTAATCATGGAGACGTCGTTGGCGCCGTCACCAATGGCGAGTGTGACAGCCTTGCGACTCTTCTTGATGAGTTCCACCACCATGGCCTTCTGCAGCGGCGTCACACGGCAGCAGATGACAGACCTGCACTGCAGCACCACCTCCAGGAATCTGATATTAATAACGTCACAATATTAATATTGCTATAACAATTGCGTGTCTTTAAACTTTACATATGCATTTAATTAGGAAATTTGACTACGATTGATAATTAATATAAGAATATTCAATAAATATATAACATTTTGGATAAACCCAGTGTCGTTAACATAGTAATAATCAATGTCGATATAGATATAGTAAAAAAACCAAGCGTCAAATTATTATTTTTACACTCTGTTAGAAATGTCGTAACAAATTTAGTTCTAAATTAAAATTTTTACATTTAGGTATTATTTTCATGAATACTAACTTTTCCTCCAGTTTCGGATGTAAGCAATGTACGAGGGAATGTCCGTTGACGACGATCGCAAAGCCGTTCGTATCATCATTGCCGTGCTCCTGCGCTTCGGAGGAACTCGCGCCGCCCGCACTGTACTCGTTGCTGGAAACACACTATCATATCAACAAACCATACCATAATATTGTTTTTATCATCACTTAAAGATCAACTATAGTAACAAATTTAGAAAACTATTGTTTGGAAGAAAATCCGACCCTGCCGGTGTACTGGCGCAACACTAGCCTTGCTAAAATGTCGACATTTATGTCCCCTCACTAATAATTCTGACACTTGACTAATATTGTCTAAAACTACGTATTTATACTTGTGAAAACATATGTACAGTCAGGGTTCTTCGCAGTGTTGCACTTACAGAAAAATTGTCTTATTCCTTGCAAAGAGATAAACTTCGTCTCTTTTTACAAAATAACCATAAAAAGTAAAAAGCAATTACTCTACAATAAACCGATCTGTTTTCACATAGAAATTAAAAAATTTTGTTTTACGGCTACAAAATAAACACTAAATATTTTTTTTAAAAAAACAGACACTAGTAAAAGACAATTAAAAACAAAACAAAATTAGTTCACACGTGCAAAGGTAACTAGTAAGATTTAGAAGTTATAGAGGTGCTGTTATAAACTACTATCGAAAAAGTATATGACATTTTAACCATATACGTCACAAATGACGTCATCTACAAGTCAGATGAAGATTGTTTTTGTTGTCAGGTCATATGTGTCCCACTAAGTGGCTCAGACCCAACCCTAACTTAGTGACTAGGAAATCAATCACGCTGTCCCAGTGCGGGTTGACTTCGGCAATATCTTTGAATTTCTTAGCCGTAATAACGTTGGATAAATTTAATAAAATTTGAAAATAAAAAACACTAATGGTGAAGATTGAACCTGGATACTTTTAAGATTTTTTTTTATATTATATCATAAGGTGGCAAACGAGCGAGCGGTCACCTGAAATCGCTGAAATAGCGAAATGACCGTTGCCCATAGACATACGCAATTGCATATGCGTTGCCTACCTTTAATCGACGGAGGAGAGGATGCACAGAAAGTAAATATTTCCCCTTTCCATGCATCCTCTCATCCGGAGAGTCTACTTCCACTTCTCATCCTTTCCTTATAAGAAAAAGGGTGGGAAGGGAAAGAGGACTAAATTAAAGATACTCTGAAGATTGGTAATTAGGATATATAAGACTACAAGATTATGTTTAATAGTATCAATATACTATGAAAGTACACACACAAACATAGAAGCATCACAGTTTACAAGATAGACAGTTTGTGCAAGCCCACACTTAAAGTAAGAGAAACGTCACTGAGGGAAGTAAAGCCCGACTAATGAACAACTACACTTAACACCATCAATGCTGCTATAATTTTGTCGTAAAACTGACCAGGCGAGTCAGCGTTGCACGTGTTAAAACACACAAATCTATTTCACTCAAGCTTTTTGACGTTTGGTTTTACATAATAAAAATCTTTGCTAATATTCTCATGAAATCAAAATTCCTATTTAACAATTTGGACATCTTGAAATTATGGAGTTATTTTTTCTACAAATAAAGGGTCTAGCTATGGGTAGGCTGTAGTTGTCCATGTAGTGGGGTAGTGAGGTAGTGGGGTAGCGGGGTAGCGGTAGGCGAGCGATAGTTAGCGTAGCCGTCGGTGTCTACCTGTGGGGTAGTGAGTTATGTTCCCACCTAAATGTGACGACGGAGACGGCGGGCGCGTTCAGTTTGACGTTGGCGGCGCGGCCGGGAGACGGCCGGCCCACCGCCGCACCGCCGTTAGCTGTCGACTTCTTGGCATCTGACGACCCTGACGAATACAATTACATTTATTTAGTTGGTTTAAAAATTCTAATTTTTCTAGCATTAAATATCTAGCTTTAATTCTGTTAAGTAGTCCTTAAGTGAAAGATATAAGAAAAAGATCTGAGCACAGCGCCGCAGCCGCGATGACTGTTTGAACTTAACGAGGAATGATTAGTTACCATATGGCAGGAATGTATTGACGACTCGTATGGACTCCCTGCTCTTGGCGAGCTGACGGTCCACGTCATCGTGCGTCACACCGTCTATGATGAACACCTCCGCCATGTCGTCCGTCAGCAGCTGGCACGAGTATCCTATGTTGATCGCAGTCTCTGCCAATACAAACATATAAGCTTAGTTTTCACTTGGCACGTAAGCAATAAGAGTACTCCTATGTCCGACATGCCAACTCATACAAGTAGTTCGATTTAGACGTAAGGCAATCGATGGTGCGTGTAATTTTGTCATTTACCTTGTTTGTCTCCTGTTAAAACCCATATCTTCATCCCGGCCATGCTGAGATTCGCTATGGTTTCCGGTACACCGTCTTGTAATTTATCCTCTATGGCAGTCACACCTGCAATGTTAATAATTTCATGATGTACTTCAATTCAATGTACAAAAATTAAAAAAAAATAAGTAATTTTTTACGACAGATTATAAATTATTTATTAGAAAAATGGTATACACTTTTATTTTATTTTTTAAATCGCTAGAATGACGTATAAATATTTGACAGATGACAGATGAGAGCGGAGTCTTGACGCTAGCGCCACCTAGTTGCAGGTTTGAGTTTAGTGTGTGATGGTGTCAGTATGAGTCAGTATGGTGCGGTTACCCATGAGCAGGAGGTCCGTCTCGATCTCCTCGTAGATGGCGTCGAGGCGCTCGTCCCTGTCGCGCAGTGCGAGCGCGGCGGCCTGGTGCCGGCGCTTCCACTCCGCGAACCCGCGCTCCTCCAGCGGCCGCCATGCCAGCGCCAGCGTGCGCAGACCCTCGCCGGCGAATTTCTATTTATTCAATTTAAAAAATAATTAACATTATAACAATGTATATATTGGTACGCATTCTTAGTGTTGCCATTTTGAAACCTATAAACAAATATCTTGGATGGAATATATCAAACAATATCACTTTTGCAGGTTTTTTCTTTGTAGTCATTTTTAGGGTTCCGTAACTCGAAAATAAAAAAAACGGAACCCTTAAGTATCACTTTGTTATCCGTCTGTCTATCAAAACACTTTTTTTTTTAATTTAAATTATTAGTATTTACGTTTTAAGCTTTGTATAGAGTATATAATAACATAATGTAAGACGCAATTATCGTCTATTGATAATAGTTGAGCAAATTATTAAAATAGTGAGTATATGACTAATTTAGTTTGATGTACTCACGTTTAAATGCTCCTGCGTCTTGGACCTGACTTCTTGCTGACAATCAGTTTTTAATCTGTCGTATATAACATTGTCAGCACCCTTCGTGTACAATCTTATCTCACCGTCCTTCCTCAATATCACCGACATTCTTTTCCTTACATTATTAAAATCTAATATACACAACAACTCGTACACCTGAAAATAAATAAACAACATCATTAATTATTCATTATGACAACATTTATTTGAATAAAAAAAAATATCCAAAATCCAATTTAATTTATATTTTTTTATTTACAAAGACCGTAAAGGTTATATGAGCCGTTAAGCAAAATTAATACTAAATTATAACAGCTTGTGGCGGATACACACACACTGACATAAACACACACCCACACACTTACATCCATCAATACTATCATTCCTTACATTTACACATTCATTCAAACATTTATTTATTTCTTACATTTAAAAGTAAATAACAAATTTAATATTAACAATTACATATAAATATTACTTTTTATTTCTATTATATTATTTGAAATATAAACAAAATTTTGATAACTTAATATGATTATAACGCCCTCTAGTCGATGCATCGAAAACGCTTAGCGTGAAGTTTGCATCGATTCGTAATGCATTTAAAAAATCACTTGTCACGACCATCTTTAATCTAATGTAACAATTATCTCCGTGTCTTCCGTGTTGTTAAAAATGTTAAAGTTTCGATTTCTATTTACTTCTGTGATTATTTAGTTTTGTTTAGTTAACCTTCTGAACTATTAAAATTGTGTGGTGTGATTAAAAGAGTGTTTAATTCCGGCAACGGACTGCATCCTGAAGAACATTCTCACTTAACCCCAAACTGGTGACCCCTAAAGTGAACATTTAAATCAAACTAATTAAAAATGAGTAGTGACGGTGAAGAAAAATCTGATTACGGCGCGCGAGTGACGAAGCGGCGAGTGCGCGTGCCCATTGTTATGGACGATAATTCAGACATTTGCCGTGTTAACGTAAGCATGCCGCCATTTTGGCCTGAAAAGCCATTATTATGGTTTAGTCAAATTGAAAGTCAATTTTGCATATCGAAAATAAAAGATGACGATATAAAATTTCACCTGCTTATTACAAACTTGGACCGGAGATATATAAGTGATATCGAAGATTTAATAACATCGCCTCCAACGACCGGGAAGTATGAAAAATTAAAAAGCGAAATTATTAAACGGCTTTCCATTTCAAAAGAAAAAAAATTAAGACAACTACTCCAGGCCGAGGAGATGGGCGATCGCAAGCCATCGCAGTTTCTTCGACATCTACAGCATCTCGCAGGCCCCAACATACCGGAAGATTTTCTTAGATCATTATGGACAGGTCGACTCCCAAGTAATCTACAAACTATCGTCGTGTCCCAGATGAGTATGCCCCTAAGCGAAGTAGCAGACTTGGCAGATCGAGTACACGACATCGCCCCAGCTTCACCCGTTGTTGCAGCCACATCATCTTCACATGACAGGTTGGAACAGACCATTGAGGCCATGGCTCGACAAATATCAGAACTGAAGACGCAGGTCAGTACTATTAATTCTAAAATCGACGATCGCTCCCGGCCACGTCATAAACAAAGGTCACGTGAGCGCAGCCGTACGCCGTCGAGAAGATCACAGTCGTCCTACAGGAAATTTCCTACCTGTTGGTATCACTCCAAGTTCGGCAGCCAGGCGAGACAGTGCATTCCGCCTTGCGATTATAAGTCGGGAAACGCACCGGGCAGTCTGTAATGGCGACGGACGACTGCCCCACATCAACTACTGGTCGCCTATTTTTAACTGATAGCAGATCGAAAATGCAGTGCTTAGTGGACACAGGAAGCGATCTATGCGTTTTCCCCCGATCTGCGCTTAAACAACAGCGCGACAAATCTGATTATGTACTGTGTGCGGCTAATGGTTCTACTATTTATACTTATGGTTATGTACAACTTAATTTAAACCTAGGTTTACGCAGAGATTTTATATGGCGTTTTACTGTTGCTGATGTTACAAAAGCTATTATTGGTGTTGATTTTTTGTCTCATTTTAATTTAATTGTTGACGTTAGAAATAAGAGATTAATAGATACTACAACAAAATTGTCAACAGTAGGTCTTTCTGAAAAATTAGGCAGCCTAATATCTAGTGTAAAGGTCGTGACTGGTGATTCAATTTTTTACAAATTACTAGCTAATTTCCCAGAACTTACACGGCCAGCAGGCGCCCATCGCACACCAACACATAAGACTGTTCATCACATACGTACCACACCAGGTCCGCCGGTTTCCTGTACACCACGCAGACTTCCCCCAGAGAAGCTGAAGATCGCCAAGGCTGAATTTCAGGTAATGTTAGCTAATGGTACTGCTCGCCCATCTGAGTCAGCCTGGTCGTCACCACTACACCTCGCTCCGAAAAAGGATAATGGTTGGCGACCGTGCGGCGACTATCGCTTGCTAAACGCGAGAACTATCCCGGATAGGTATCCTTTACGCCATATACACGATTTTGCCCATAGTTTATTCGGTTGTAAGATTTTCTCAACTATAGATCTGGTCAAGGCATATAATCAGATACCAGTATTCGAACAGGACATTCCCAAGTGTGCTATAACCACACCCTTCGGACTTTTTGAGTTCCCTTTCATGAATTTTGGACTCCGTAATGCTGGAGCCACCTTTCAGAGATTCGTGGATGAGCTGACACGTGGTCTAGATTTTTGTTTCCCATATCTCGACGACTTTCTCGTATTTTCACGTGATGAAACAGAGCACAAAGAACACCTCCATCTCCTGTTTAACAGGATGAAGGATTATGGCGTGCTGATCAACACTGCGAAGTGCGTTTTTGGAGCGTCAGAGGTAACATTTTTAGGCTATTCCATCAACCAACACGGCACGAAGCCTCTGGAGGGCAAAGTTCAAGCCATGAAAGAGTTTCCCCTCCCCACTAATGCAAGGCAGCTTAGAAGGTTCCTGGGAATGATAAACTTTTATAGAAGGTTTATCCCCCACGCAGCCAAAATTCAAGCTCTCCTGAATACATTGCTTAAAGGCTCAGTCAAAGCATCACAACCTATACACATGGATGAAAAGTCTTTAAAAGCTTTCGAAGACTGTAAAGATAGTCTTTCCAATGCAGCCTTGTTAGCTCACCCTGACCCGGCAGCTAAGTTAGGTCTTATCACCGATGCTTCTGATCTTGCTATTGCTGGTGTCTTACAGCAACTCGTAGATGGTAGTTGGCAACCTCTTGCCTTTTTCTCTCGCAAACTGAGTCCATCGCAAACAAAATACTCACCATATGATAGAGAGCTGCTTGCTATTTATGAGAGTATTAAGTATTTCAGACATTGGCTAGAAGCAACACCGTTCACTATCTATACGGATCATAAACCACTGTGCTTTGCGTTCAGTGAGAGGAAGGCTAACTGCAGTCCACGACAATATAGGCATCTGAATTTTATTTCACAGTTCTCAACTGACATTCAGCACGTCGCCGGAAAAGATAATGTCGTTGCTGACGCACTTTCCCGAATCGATGAGGTTGAGGCGATAGTAAGACCCGTGGACCTTGAAGTGATTGCTAATGCTCAGGACTCCGATTCTGAATTAGCAACATTTCTAAACCAAGAAAGTTCCCTGCATATTAAGAAATTAAGTATACCTGGTAGTCCATTACAGCTGTACTGTGATGTCAGTACAAATACTCCCAGGCCTCTAATACCCAAATCCTTACGCAAGCAAGTATTCGATAGCTTGCACTCTCTAAGCCATCCCGGCGCCAACACAAGCGCGAAGCTTGTCGCTGAGCGTTTTGTATGGCCACTGATGAGAAAAGATTGTCGCGAATGGTCTAAGGCGTGTTTGTCATGTCAGCGCGCAAAGGTAAATCGACACGTTACGTCGCCTTTAGGCACCCATGATTTACCTTCAGCGAGATTCAAATACGTTCATTTAGACCTTATCGGACCATTACCTCCATCAGCTGACTTCCGTTACTGCTTGACAGTCGTCGATCGCTTCACGCGATGGTGCGAAGCTGTCCCCTTAACGGATATCACCGCAGAAACAGTGGCCAAAGCATTTTTGTCGTCTTGGATAGCGAGATTCGGTTGTCCTACTGACATTGTGACAGATCGTGGTAGGCAATTTGAATCGGCACTTTTTGATCAACTTTCAAATTTTATATCTTTTAAACATCGTAAAACGACCAGCTACCACCCTCAATGTAACGGTCTTATTGAGAGGTTCCACCGGCAATTAAAAGCTGCTATCATGTGTCACGACGATAGTAGCTGGGTCGAAGCTTTACCAATAGTCCTGCTAGGTATTAGAAGTTCGTTCAAGGAGGATCTTCAAAGCTCTTCCGCTGAACTTGTCTACGGAGAGCCTCTGCGTTTGCCAGGCGAATTTTTTGGCCATAAAGCAGATAATTGCACTACTGATATAGCAGATTTTACAGCCCGTATTCGTTCTTTTGCTAATAATTTACAACCCGTGCCAACTTCTCATCACAGCACAAACAAAATTTTCGTCTATAAAGACCTTTCAACTTGTTCCCACGTCTTTCTAAGAGAAGACGCGTTAAGAGGCGCGTTACAACCGGCTTATACAGGACCTCACGAAGTCGTGGAGAAAGGCGAAAAAGTTTACAAGATTAGAGTTAAGGGAAAAGTCTTACGAGTATCTGTAGACCGTTTAAAACCAGCCTACATACTTGTATCCAACAAAGAACCTGATTCCTCCCCATTAACCATTCCTATTTCAGATGCTGTGCCACATTCGACTCCAATTCCAGTGACTACTCGATCAGGGCGAACAGTTCGTTTTCCAGATTATTATCGCCCGTAGACACGGTCTCTGGGGGGGAGTGTTGTGGCGGATACACACACACTGACATAAACACACACCCACACACTTACATCCATCAATACTATCATTCCTTACATTTACACATTCATTCAAACATTTATTTATTTCTTACATTTAAAAGTAAATAACAAATTTAATATTAACAATTACATATAAATATTACTTTTTATTTCTATTATATTATTTGAAATATAAACAAAATTTTGATAACTTAATATGATTATAACGCCCTCTAGTCGATGCATCGAAAACGCTTAGCGTGAAGTTTGCATCGATTCGTAATGCATTTAAAAAATCACTTGTCACGACCATCTTTAATCTAATGTAACAATTATCTCCGTGTCTTCCGTGTTGTTAAAAATGTTAAAGTTTCGATTTCTATTTACTTCTGTGATTATTTAGTTTTGTTTAGTTAACCTTCTGAACTATTAAAATTGTGTGGTGTGATTAAAAGAGTGTTTAATTCCGGCAACGGACTGCATCCTGAAGAACATTCTCACATAACCCCAAACACTAACGCCACTTATCAACTTCAAAAACTTTCCTTTTTGTTAGTTATCATGTAATTTTCTATGTTTAAATAAGTTTTAGAGTTCCGTACCTCGAAAGAGAAAAATGCCTTATAGAATCCCTTTCTTATCCATCTGTTTGTCATTTTTATATAAAGCAAAACCTACCGCGATAGTAGCGCCTCTCATTGTTTCAAACCTTATTTGACTAAGTAACTAATATTTTGGAACTTTCATAATGTAACATCAAAAGTGACATGAATTTGTGTCGTAATGTAGTATACAAGTACATACCTCTGTTTTACCCATAACTTCTATAGTAATACTATTAGGCGAGCGCTCTCTGAACACGAAGCCGAAGTTGCGCGCCGCAGACACCAGCGCAGCCTCGTCCGGTGACTGCGACTGCGCATACACATTACATCATATTATTATTTGTATTTCAAAATATTGGTCGTTCAAATTTTTTTTAGGTTAATAAAATTAATCTTCATTTATTTACTAATTAACTGTCACACGCGACTCCGTTGCCAACAAATTAAAATGAAACTTAATTAGTAGCCTATGTGTTCTTTCAAACTATGTTCTACATCTTTAACAGTTTTCAGCAATACCCATGCAGCCGTTCTGGAGATACCTTCTAATAAACATCCATCCATACATCCAAACATTCGCATTACAGCCCTTCGATCCCCCAAGCTATTTAACAATTGTACATAATCAACATATAACAGTCGATGGATGCTGGTAACAGAGCAGTACTGGCTCACCTGGTACTCCAAACGGCCGTTCTTCTGCTCCGGCATTACGGTGTGGCAGAGCGCCAGCAGACGGAAGAAGTCGTGCACCTGCTGGTTTCCGCGCTGCACCGCATCCAGCAGCGTCGCATCGAAGAACTTGAACTCCGGCTCGTACTCAGGATTGAACGAAAAGTCCAACGGCTCCGTATTCTATATACAGGATGTTCCATGTTAATTATTTTAAAAATTCAATAAATCATTTTGATTAAGTTCAAACATCATGTATGTCAATTTACTTCACAGAAGGAAAAGTTTCGTCTTCCGATTCTCTATTAAATTATATTTAAAATCTCAAAAATTTTAATTGACTTACGTGATTTAAGAACTAAATATATGTAAAAATTATTAACATCGATACTAAATAAGGTATTTAGTTTGTTTATGATGGTACAAATGTATGACATGCTTTCATACATTTGCACAGACTATTGAAAACTGAACTACATCATGCAAGCAAATTTACATAAAAGCTAAGCTAGTTTTGTGATAGCAAGCTTAACTAAATCATTACAATTTAAAGTCTTACACAGGAAAGAATATTAATGATAATTTAATTCCAAAAATATTAAAAAAAAAACCTTAAATATATTTCCTGCATAAAACTTCGTAAAACAAAGCAGACAACAAACACGACATGTTACAAAACAAAGCTTCAAATGCGACTTAAACTAACCACAGTGCAGTTATTTACAGAGAAATCATTCCACAGAATTGTTAAGACAAGATATAGTGGTAACGTCATATGATTAGAGAACATAGTAAGTGGATATTGGAAATTACTCTTAAAACACTTGCATCTGCATTTTTTTATGTGGACTTCATTTTTTTCAATTTCAAAGGAAGAAGTAACACAATACGAATAAAATAATACATAACAGATAAACGTTGGTTAGCAGATACAAGTTTCTAATTAATTTTATTCGTATAATAAGGTTAAAACCAGAAAATTAGAGCATGTAAGTTTGTGCGTACTTTGGAAATGTGTTAGATGGTGTAAGGGACAGAATAAATAAGGCAAAGATTCATTTATATCGAGGAAGATTGCTTCAACAACAAGAGTCAGCCGTACCCCATCTATCTAGCCCTCTCGTCACTACGTCTCACATCGCAAACTGCCACATACTACCTGACTTGATGCATAGCGGCAACGCCTTCTGATTATGCGACCGTATACATATAACTTTCAGACTTATAATAATATAGTTATAATAATATGATATAGATTACTATTGACTGATCCTAATAGATCCTAATACGTAATAGAAGACGAATTTTATTCTATTGTATAGAGGATAAACCAAATAAAAACCGATTTCGTATATGTATAGCACGAGTAGATATCTTTTTATCTTACTAAGGACGACAAAAAATAAAAAATGTTTAAATGTTTAATATAAAAGATAGTATAAGGCAGAGTATACACGTGTACGTATCGCATAATGTGAAGGCGTGCGCGTTGCGCGGTGGTTGCGTGCGTACGTGCGTGTTGGCGGAGGCGGGCGCGGACGCGGGTGCGGGGTTGGGGGCGGGGCGGCGCGCGCCCGGCGTGCTGCGGCCCTGCTCGTGCTCCAGCTCCAGCAGTCGCGCGCGCGGCACCTCGCGCTGCTCCCGCGCTCCCCGCGTGCCCCGCGAGCCCCGCGCAGCGCGCGACGTCCGCTGCACCATACACACATCACACAACGCTACCCTAACATTTGCTTTACCATATCTCCATTCTTGGATGTTTGCCTTGAATCCACACAGAGATTCTCCTCATCAATCATTGACCTATCGGTATATTGTCGAAAGCCTATCATTCTACTAACTCACACGTTCCAAGTATGTTAATTAGAAATTACCTAAGAAGCAGTCACATTTTTTTTACATTTAATTGTCTTTAATTTTCAGGTCACATTTCTTCTTGGCATTGTTTTTTTATAGTTGCTAGACAATTTACCAAACAATTTGTAATAATTTTTACAAATATGTTGTTTTTACAAATGTCTGATGTTTTGCACTTTGAAAAGATTAAACCTCAATAATAATATTTAACATAATGCCTAAAGTAATCACTTGCAATACTTCATATAAAAATTACTTCGCTTCCTAAAATACAGTATCGTTTTTTCATCATTTTTTCACCATAAAAACTGTCATATTTTTTTATAGATAGGGAAGTAATATTCTTGTAATTCATTATATAGCGTAACGTACTTATATAAATTGTGTACCACTTCAAACATAATAAATTCGATCAAACAAAACGATCCTTCATATGTAAATAGTGTGTAGTGACACTGTGCTGTGTGCTCATACATTAAAAAAATAAAAAAATAGTAATAAATACTAGATGTATGGCAAACTACGTCGATACTGTTGCATTATATACATGCAAACAAGGTAAAAATGTCTAATGCATCTAACGCTTCGTAGACTGTCAAATAACTTCAAAATGCTCGAATATACAAAACGCATAATGGTTCACGTAGAAAAAGGACAAAAAATCTATGTTCATCTTTCTCGCACAATGATATGAAAGTGCATGAATAATAAACATATTACTCATGCACAAATTTAACAATATGAACAAAAAAATGAAAAACAAACAAACATAATGTCAAAACATCAGGCGTACAAAAATCCTGACAAACCCCAAAAGCGAGGACAAATGAAAAACGAAAAAAAACGAACTGTTAAAAAATTTCATACAAACTTGGTGTTCATGCACAAATAGTCTTCACTTTCGGTGGTTCAAAAAAAATCGTAGTCTCAAGTGAAACAGCCTACATGCGATACTATGCAGTGAGAATGGACCAATGTGCAGGTCAGTTTTATATCAAAAGTTGACCTGTAGGGGGAACTTACCTCTGTCAGTTCAACTGTCTCTCCAGTGGTCTCATCAACCACATCGCCATAGCAGACGCCGGCGATCGAGCATTTGTTGAACGTCATTATGTTCTGTGTCAAAGTGCCCGTCTTGTCAGAAAATATGTACTGGATTTGACCTGAAATTTACATTTAATAAACACAAAAGAAAACAAAATTACCAACTATTAGTAAAGTCTATAAAAATAGTAATTTTTTGACTTTTTATTTGACACATCAAGGGAACAAAGAACTACTGTGAGATTAAAAACTATTTTTCACTAGGATTCCTCCATAAATAATTACAATTTGTACCTTTATGTTATAAACTAGTTTCCACTAGAACACGACTAATTAAAAAAAACTTAGTAACTAGCCAGTGCGCTAATTCAGACAGCAATCGATCTCTATGGCAAATTTTATCAAGATTGTCAAACCGTTCTGGATATATCTTCTAGATTACTTACCTAATTCTTCATTTAGGGTAGTTGTTCTCGCTTTCGCTGCTGTCCCAGTCTTTTCATAATACATCTTCTCATCCCAATTTATGAGAAAACTCTGTGCGAATCTTATAACCTATAAAATAAATACAATCCTCAAGAAACCTGGAGAATATTCTATTTCATAAACACTTATAAAATATCTTACTAGTCTACGCAATAAAATCGATTAGCAAGCTATAACAATCAAAATAAATAACAGAGACTCTGTTTCAAACGATTAAGTAGTAAAAGGTGACGAGTAATTTCATAACATTTATAAACGTTCCAGCGGACTTAAGTCAATTAAATTTGCATGCCGACATATTTCTATCTATGACATGATAATGTCATTTTTATAACTATGATTTGATATGACTTTTGAAGCACTTATTTCGTGATTGATAGTTATTAGTTAGAATCCTTTGGCGCTAATGGCGCGCTTTTCACCAAGTGAAGTGTCAGAATGATTAGTGAGGGGACAAAAACATCGACATTTTATTAAGGATAGTGTTGTGCCAGTACACCGGCACAGTGACGAATTTTCTTCCTAACACTAGATATTATAAGTTATTCGTAAATAATGGACAACCACTACTAATTCGTCTGTTGATTACTTTACGTGTGATGAATAGAAAGTAAAATAGTGATGCTTTTAGAGCATATCACCACGCATTTAGATTGATGTTTAAATCTCAAATTTTTTAAACGCGTAAAAAACGAAAAAACCCATTTGCAACATTCTTTGGACAATTAGCAACCGAATTAAGGAATTTTCAAGACTATTTAAACTTAAACAAACACAAACTGTTATTACTAACTCACCTCAACGGAGACATATAGGGATATGGGCACGACGGTGTTCATGACGATGGCGTAAGAGAAGAAGACGAGGAATGCGATGACGACAGCACCCGATGCCGGTTCCGCAGGCACCAGAGTATCCCACGGCAGGTACACCTGGAAGTGCCTCCCCACCAGCCACTCCCACACACCACACGCCACCGTGCAGAACACGCACATCGACAGCAAGAAGAACACTATCTGTTAGGAAGAACTATTAACGTGAGTTTTCACTTGAACAAAAACATAGTTTTTTACGTAGGTACATGTAACCGTGGATTGCAATAGTTTCAACACATATTGTTATCTCTGTTTTTCAAAGTTTATGAAAAGGATAGCAATATTGTAATTCATGTTTTACGACAATGGAAACCCGCTATTAACAAAGATAAAACCAGTTTTATCGCTTCCATTAAAAAAACAAAACATGATAAACAAACATAGTCTCGATCAAGTTTGCGGAGGCCTAATTTAATTAGCGTCCTGTGATGCGGCAATGTACCGACCTGGCTCATCCAGCCGTTACCTACGGCTGGTTTGCTTTTCATTTTATTACGTATCGGAGGTCCCGAGAGACATTTTTACGTTTGAATAATTATATAGGTATAACATTTTTGTTAAGGGGATACAGATTACAATCTTTACTTTTAGAACGAAATGTAATTCATGAATAGTCACATAAATATTTTAAATCAGCGTAGAGTCATGTAGAAACATGTAAAATTAAGTTGCAGTGCTAAAGCCTTATCAAATAGACCAAAGACACGGAATCTATAACTCATATTCACTTTCCTGAAAAAAAATCTATTGTGTTTTAGTACCAAGATTGTTTGGTTGCAGATTATGTAAGTATAAAAATGTATCATTTACCCCTATAATAAGAAAATTAAGTAGCCTGTCGATACTGGTGCGTTTGAATTTAGTCTTCCCAGAGTTTTGCATGAGCTTGGTGTCCTTGCCGGCGAACACGACGACACCGTAACACCACGTCGTGTTGCGGAGTACGCATCCGCGGAGTAAGATCTTATCATTGTCCAATGAGAAGTGTTGGTCGCGCCAGCTCAGAGTACCTGGGCCATGAAAATTTACGTATAGTAAGGTTAATTTTAAAAAAATCTTTATTTTGAAAAAAAAATGATTTACAGTCTATAATATAATGAATTGTTTGCTTTTCTGCTTTTTTTCTATTACAATGAACTCTCCTGTAAAATTGGTAGCACTGAAAGTGTTAATTTAAAAAACGTTTTACGTTAAATGTTTATAAAACTTTCCGAAATTATACGACAATCATATTTGCAAGAAAAAACGACTAAAAGTTCTGCTTCCTTTTTATCTTTTTTTCCATTCCTTTAAAAATTTACTTAAAAAAGAAAAAAAATAAGTTTAACGAGTATTGGCAGTATGTTTTCTATATATGTTGTTAAAAAGTTCAATATAACAAACAGAAGATTAAGTTGTCAGGATCGAATATTAACAAATCAAAGGCAGTGGAGCGGCGAGTTGAACAGGAACCAGTGACAATGCAATCTTAGCGCCCGTCAATAACAATTGCTTGTTCACTGTTACCACATAAGACAGCACAATCGTTCAATACCAACACATTAGTTACGAGTCATGAAATTCTACTCAAAAAAAAAAACTTTATTAGTTGCCTATGTGCTCTTCCAGTCTGTTCTACATCTATGCCAAATTTCTTGGGATACTTTCAAACATCCATCCATCCAAACATCATTAACAATACTACTACCATTAGTAAGATTTCAAATATATTCAGACGCAAGCATTTCCTAGAAAAGTGCATACAGGAAATTCAAATCGATTCTAAATCATGAATACATCCGTAGTAAATTTATTTTGAATTTCGCTTCGTATTGAAATCTATACCCACAAGTCAACACAAGCGTAGCGAGCGTTAATTTGATTTGAAAACCATTTCCTTTCTATCACGTGTTCTGTAATGTTATTCTTACTTGATGTTTTATTTATAATTTACTAGCTGTTCCCTGCGATTACCTCTCCGCGGAGTTTTAAACAAACGTTAATAAGTAGTCTATGTGTTCTTCCAGACCATAGTCTACATCTGTGCCTAATTTCATGAATTTTCTTTGGCCGTTGCGGAGATACCTTCAGATCATAACTGTCGCATTTATAATATTAGTAAGATAGTAAGATATTGATTGTCTTCACTTATACTTATTGCTATGGATTAATAACTACTACAATATACAGTTGAATGTTTACTAATCAGTGTCTCTTTAAAGCACTTAGCGATCCCTTAGAGACCATTAAGTCATCATTTAAGAGTGCCAATTAGTCCTTCAAGAGAAGAGCGATTATAGGGCTCACTTAAAACCAAACTGGCTTGTTCCTGTAACAAACATACCTTCAAACTTGTTAAGTAAATTGTTTGGCGTCTCGCAAACTATTTCACCGTCGAAGGCGCCCAGCTGTCCGTCGTCCTGACCCATCGCTGCCGTCTCCAAAAGGCACTGGCGACACTTTAAATTCGTCTCCCTATATAAAACAAAAAACGAAGAAAGGTAATTTGAAGAAAAACAAAATAAAATAAACTATCATACAATTTAATAGCATTATGAGAATACCAGATTTACACATAGTGATTTGATATCGTAATTAACTGCCGCAAGGACTCAGTATGCGCGAAATTAAACAAAAATATTAGTAGCTATGTGTTCATGACTATGTTCAAATTTCAGCAAGATCGGATTAGCGGTTGTGAAGATACGTCGTAAAATAACAAAGATTAATAAGAAGTAAGTAGGATTTCAATCAAGTAACTTTTTAAAGAGCGTCGGTGGCTCAGGAGTCAAGCACTTGACTTGGAATCTGCAGGTCCTGGGTTCGAATCCCGCCTTGTACCAATGTGTTTTTCGATTTCCGATTTACGTATGTACATTTATCCACAGGGCCAGCGTGGCTGACTATGGCCTAATCAACCTTAACTTAGGGTAGGCTCTGAGCCAATCGGTGGGGACGTATAGTGAGCTGATGATGATAAACTTTTTAAAATTGTTCTTTTCTGTTTAGTAAGAAAACCTTGGTGCTGTATATGTGCGTGTCGGTTACATGAATGTAACGTAAGACAGCATTAAAATGATAGATGTACTTTTGATGACTTGTAAAATACATTTCCATTAATACAAAGACGAAACATAACCATTACTGATTTCTAGAATTGGAACGATCAAATATGTTGACGTTAAATCGAAACTATGACTTTCTCCAACTAACAAAAACATGAAAAAACTTTAACACAAGGTAAAAAATTATATACTTATAGAGTGTTGTATTCCAACTAACAACACGTCACTTGTCATTGTCACTTGCGAATTAAATCGATATTCAATTTGCCGACTTTTCACTATTTGCCTAGGAAAATTGCTGACGGGCGGCATTTGCGATTTACAGATGACATCGAGGAGTGGAATGCTATCAGGCGATTATAATACCAAGATTAAGTATCTCACCCATCCAGCTCCGCAGTCTCTATATAACAAAGTCCATTGGGTTCAGAGCTGCTGAGCAGCAGGATGTCCGCAGCGACGAACTGGTCGTTCTCCAGCCGTATGACGTCACCCACTTGAACAGACGCCCACTTTTCCTCCACCAGTTTGCCATTTCGAAGCGTCTTTGCTCTACGGTGATTCACTTGAGAGTCGTTTTGATGACGTTGCTGCAAGAAAACACACCCATTCAACAAGAGTTACAAGGACTTCATTTTAAGTATTTGTTATTCTTTTATCTCTTTACAAATTACAATATTTAGCACTGTATTACAGCACAATATGTTAACTCTAACTAAAATTACTGAACCAATCTGCATATTTACATTTTTCATAATGACAAAATAAGTATAACACGAAGTCTTCTTTGTAATGGCGTAGTTCATTTGCAATGTCCGTCAAGGTTATATTTATGATGTAACACGTTTGTCCCCTGCATTATTAACCTTTTGTTTGATATAAAAATAATAGCTAGCAAATTTCAAATTCTTGCTTAAGAAAATTGAGTTTGGAAACATAATCGACCTAATCGTAACCAAACCGAAACAAAACGAAGAAAAGTGAACATGTGATTGGGTAATGGATGTTAACATTATAATCTGTATTAAATCGTAGCTAAAATAATCCGCCATAACCATGGCTTCACAAAGCTAAATAAACACCACAAGTGTACTAAAGATTACATTTTACTGTTATCAAAGACGGTATAAAATGGGGACTTAAAAGCATTATGTTAACCACGATGTTATGATGACATCAATATCTTTATCATTAGTCTACCTCTTAGCACAGATTACATGCGATATGGAAATCTTGAACATTAAAGTGAGTTTACGCTGATAGAACACATATAGAGAATGTTATCTCATTTCTTTAAAGAAAATTACTATATTCTTTTTGGAACATGACGCCAAAATAGTGACGTTCAATTCGAGTGGAGAAATGGATGAATAACCCTACTAATTAATTTACTAATTGTTTAATGATTTTTTTAAAGAAATAATTGTGACTCGTAACCGTGTAGGAGTACAGCAGTTAACAGATGAGGTCATTCGCGAAAACCTCCTCTAAAACACACAGCCGCTGACCACGTATGTATTCGGCACGTACCAAATTGCGTCATGTGGGCAGGTCAATTCGTGGTACGTGATCCGTTCATTGAGTATCAAGGTGATTTAGACCTTTATTATATTTTATTTTGTATCGAAAAGAATGGGGAAAGAAATAGAAAAGAATCACATTACATTTCCTATCGTTAGAAAACGAACCGGGGGAAGAATCGATATAATTTTCGTATAGGCCGTATCCGTGTACTTTCGGCCAATAAATTAGGGTACTAGTTTTTGCTATGAGTATACTTCTTTTCGTATACCTTTGTTACATAATAATAGGTCAAAAGGTCACATAAAGAAATTCTTTTCGTCTACATTGTTATCCTTGTATAAAAGTAAAAAAATTAAGCAGCTTCGAGTTCTCTCTTCACGTAATGTGTATTCGTAAGTTGTTAGTTTCCTGGCTCCGCACAATGGTGTATGTAACCAAGGAAAAATTCGAGCATAAACAATAGATCGAAACATACATCTGTGTAGAATTTTCTAGGTTTTTTAGTCACTGTTGCTGTTGTTACTGGCCATGTGACCAAAGCAAATATTTTAAAACCTCATTCAGTCATACTTGATCCAACAAATTTTTCAGTAACTTTTTTATATTTAGAAATTTTTTGAACAACACGAACCAGATAATATACATATGCTACAGTACAATTTTATATTCCAAAACAATCAAAACCCGAGTTATGCTTGACTCTTTCTTTTTCTTCCTACTTTTCCTTCCTAATAAAAATGTCAATATGCTAAAAGATATTACGAACGAAGGTCTACTTTACTACCATAAAAGTAGTGGTTCGCTACAACTTTTAAAATTATGTGTCTCGCTGAGTAAAACAGAGTAAATAAAAATCAAAACATCACCGCATTGCACTGGAATAAACGAGTCATGAAATGACGTGCACCCTGGCATCCACGTTTGCACTCGTAACAAGCACCTCATACATTTCCATTCTAGTACGGCATCAGTCACGGAGTAATTAGCGTACAATGGGCGTCAAAGCGCTGCGACGGCTGAGTGGGTCGGCTAAAATGTACCACTTGATTCTAAAATATGCGATACAATTATAGCTTTTATACTAAAGACAAGGTAACAATGCAAACGTAGAATTCTTGAATGAGGACAGTTTTTCGACGTTCGCGTTTTTATTTTCTGCGATTATCGACCGAACGTATTCGATATCAAACCCTTTTCACTTATCCAGTTCGATAAAACCATTGTTATATTTTATCGAAGCTTATCCGCGATATTTTTTAACTTCACTCAGTACAAATTTTACCGATTTAAAGAAAAAAAAATCGGATTAATTTAATTTTTGCCAAAGATACAGAACAATAAGGATACGGATGTGTATGTTATGTTTACAATATATAAATATAAAGGAGATATAAAACAGGTGGATATAACAGCATCCGATACGTCGGATCATGCAGTTTACTGCACATTGTACGTGCAAAAACAAACATACAGCGATATTAACGTGATATTCCACTGCCGAAACACATAATGAACGAATACGTAGTACGAATAGATAATCTCATATAAGAGATATGGCAATATATTTTTATGCAAGTGGTCCTGGCAGTGGAAACCTGCGGCAACGTAAATTGGATTATCTTAATTGCTGTTGTAAAATGTTTTGGAAATACCGGTTTTTTTCTTTATTTGAAAAAGATAAAGTATGGCACTCTACAAAGGTATAGAATTTAAAAAAGGTAAAAATAAAACAGAGTACCTATGAGATTAGGAGAAACATTATGAAGAACCAAATTAGCACAATTTCTTCAAATAATAAAAACAATAAGCTGTAGTCTACATTTCCATAACAACTAAAAAACTTGTTACTTACCTTCGACTGTATTTAACGTATAATAGAAACCTAGTAAGTTTTACAATTGACCCAAAAACTAGTACAATCTGAATATGTAAATTCAGCATACATTAAAATGATTGTGAAGCGGCGTTTGCAACTGAACATTTCCTACTTACGAAGTCGTCGTAGGCGTCCTTGACAGCTGTGAGGGCGAGGACACCGATGAGCGGGATGGCAGTGGTGATGGGCGTCAGTGAGGAGATTGCGGGGATCAGTTGTAGCACCAGCAGGCACAGGAAGTAAAAGTTCGCCAGCCGCTGGAACTGCTCCAGCAAGTTCAACGGCAGGAACGTTATTATCGAATACTTCGACGTTTTGATGTAGTTGTTCTGTTAAAAAAAGACGTATTTAAATCAGTAACACCTAGCTTATATTCAAAGACAACGAAGTAGAAGTACTGATAAAGACAGCATATTTCTTTTTAAAATCGCAGATAAACATATAAAAATGTTGAATATTCGAATATGTTGAACGCTTAACGGCTGTATCGATTGTCGTAATACGGTCGTGCGTATTTTTCCAAATACGCAACTGTCTGGCCAATGCTCCTTGCCTTTTTAACCCAGCCTGTGCTTGTGTATTGATCTAATTCATCTTAAAATAATAAATTAATAAATATGAAGTTACAAACTTACAGCATATCGAAACTGCGCATTGTACTCTCTGTTGTTGGCTTTGATTCTTCGTTCATTGTCTGTAACAAACAAATATTTTAACATTAACAAATGTTCTAATAGAGCATGGTAGAGCCCCATGGTGAATTCGTTGTACAATTGGGCGTTGTTTTAGTCCGATTTTCTATACATCTGCCAACGAAACCAACTTGTTATAAACATATACTATACCTACTACTTAACCTAAATTAATTTAGTCAGACCTTTTCGCACATTTTTTTTCGTCTCGGATTTTCGGAGAGATAAAGTAATCAGTAAATTCAATATTGAAAGAGCGTGGGGACTATAGTATAATACGTAACTAGTGATTAGTGGGAAGGACATAATGTATGGGATAAAAGATAATACCGCCTTTGCTGTAGGGCTTCTATTATATTAGCTTAATACTCCATCTCGATTACTGGCTAGGCATTTCTCATGACCTATTATTACTACTAATACGGGTCGGCTATTGGAGAATAGACTCTGCCTTTCAATCTAAAAATAAGTTACTGATATAAAGAAAAATAACAAGATGCAAAATAGCTACTTAAAGAAATCTAGGATCTCAATGATTTCTTTATACTTTTTTTTGGCCAGGTTCATATTTGAAACACCTCTTCTATTTCTCCAATCTTTCTTTAGTAAGCCTTATCCATCATCAAAAATACTACGTGCAGAATCAATTCATTTTTTTTAAGGGAAGCTGCCAGCAACCACTGGTTCCATGTCACTAGGGGTTTTTTTAACGAATGTATATTCGCCAGACGAGTTAGTGACACTGAACATATCAAATAAACAGCGGATGCTGATGTTATGACACAAATTTCCCCGTGACTCATTCTGCTCGCAATTTTATCTGTTCATTATTTAACAAGTCACCGCCTTTATCTTTGCTCATTACTGTTGTGTAAATTTTGTGGATTAAATAATGAGGTAAAATTCACTTATATTCATAACATCAACTCAAACCTATCACGAAATAATATCAATTACTTTCAATATTTTTTTCTCTAATCTAGTGCTATTATGAATCGAATCACAAATTTACGAATCAAGAATCAAACATCTCGATCTTCGAGTCTTTCGTTTTCCGTTTATTACGTCACAACACAATGATTCCTTGAGTAATAAAGCTACCTCAGCCAACACGTACACATAACAAAGGTAATGGTGCAAAAAAGAATAAACAATTGTGTGTGAATGGAGCCTTAGTCAGCACTGAACAAACACGGTTGAGCGCAATCATATCGAAGCGGCATGAACAGAAAATGATTGATTGAGCCACGCTATTTATACGCGAAGGTGGAATGCTGCTCAACTGTTCACGAATCAACTGGACTGGATAATGTTTTTTCACAGTTAACGAGCATTTAGAAATACTATATATACAAATTTTATATAAAACTTTTTATACACGATGATTCATTAATTTAGAAAACAGCAGATGTTTGCAATATTAATTCGCGCCAAGTTCAAAAACCTTTGTTTCTGTACGGAATTGTTTAAACAACGCTCATTTTAAATACGTCGCGTCGGTGGTTCAGGGGTTAAGTACTTGACTTGCAATCTGCAGGTCCTGTATTCGAATCCTGCCATGTGTCAATGTGTATTTCTATTTCCGATTTACATATGTACATTGTACATTTATCCGACGTTCTTACGATGAAGGTAAACATCGTGATGCAACCGGGATATATCAGAGAAGAAACTCAAAGATATTTGTGAAGTCAACCAACCTGCACTGGGCTAGCGTGGTTGACTATGGCCTAGTAACCCCAAACTTAGGGTAGGGTCCGATCGACTTCGAGCTGATGATGATGACTTTTAAATCAATTAAATTACTTCTTGTAAAAGACAAAACTTATTTACTATATACCCATTTAATTCTACTTCAATATTAGGCATTAGGTGTAATTGAAACCACATTAAAAGAACCGTATAATATTTTGTCGTTAGTATTTTAGTAAATCACACTTGCAGTGTACAGAACTTAATCCGTCGACTAGAATGCGGTGCTCGCGGTCAAGCATCGATACACACGAATAAATAAAACAGCAAAGACACAAAACCATTTATATGGCTTCTTAACTTTACTAGTACTCATAATACAAATACGTTACAATAATACAAACAATGACATTAAGCGTGTAAAGGCGGGAAAAGCCAGAAAAAACGAAGCAGGGGCAATCGAGATTAATACAACTGCAAATAGTCTTGACTCGTGGAGCAGTGATTACGTTTAAAGAAACTGTCTGTCCCTCTCATTTTATTTGCAAAAAGAGTGATAACAATATGTTTTCGTACAGATATTTAATGAAAATTCTCTGTGATAGTGTCAATTTACAAATTTAAATTCAAACATTTCACTATATGGGAGAAAAGAAGTCGACCACAATATGCCTAATAAGTGTTATCAGATTGAAAATGACAGTCTGTGTGATCCTGTTATGACCGTCTAGGTCGACATAGGTAGTGACAGATTAATCACCTTAACACACTTTTCCACAGCGCCAGTCTATTACCAATTAATGCTTGTTTCACACGAAGAACATTGGAGCAGAGCAGTGGATAGTGTAGTACTGCTATTGTTTGAAGGTACACTTAATATCAAAACCAGTATTATTTTGCTTAACCATTGTGCCCTCGTGTGAAACTAGTATGGACTAGTATTTCGATTTGGAAAGGTCGAGACTATTATGGTTTTTTACGTTCGAGAAATCCCTATCCTTTAGCAAATATGAAAGGAGTATTTCATCTATACATGGTATTGCTAAAAGGATATAAAATTCGGTTCGAGTAAGACAGCTAAGCCATTGTACAATATTATAATATCGCGCAAATTCACAACTCTAGCGGAACATACAGATATTTCTAAAATATTATGTCTGGTTTACATTAAACCAGTACAGTAAGACAGTGGCGGTCAAAATCAGCGTTGACTTATAAGTGGGGTAAAGTAAACAGTTAATGGCGCCATTGAGCCAAAACAGTACTGCTGCTAACAAACTGTCCTACAATAGTATTATACTGTTTTACACCTTACTATCATAATATAAATGCGAATGTTTGGATGGATGAATGAGTGTTTGTTTGAAAATATCTCCGGAACGGCTGAACTGACTTTAATAAAATTTGGAACACATAGGCTATTATGTTAATTTTCAAATCCGCGCGGACGGACTCGCGGGCGTCAGCTAGCTTGATATATTTTCGTTTTAAATTCAAATCGTAAGCAACATAGGTTAACAAGAAATTAGTGTATTTGAAATTCTAAGAATCATATCGCTAGCTAATAATGTACGTTTTGTTATCAGCAAACATGACCAATAACAAGGAATACCTTGTACCACGACACACAGTACTGATTCATAACCCAATGATACATGATAAAGATTACTCATATTAGAAAATATGTTTATATAAAATTAATCAAAGGACATACTCAATTCCCTTATCTACATACATTAGGTTAATTAATTATGATAATATGAATTAAATCTTACTAATATTATAAATGCGAATGTTTGGATAAGTGGATGTTTGTTAGAAAGTATCTATAGACCGGCTGCATACATTTCGATGAAATTTGGCATACATGTAGAACACATTCGGGAAGAACACATAGGCTACTTATAAAGTTTTTTTAATTCCGCGCGGACGGATTAGCAGGCGACATCTTGTGACGACATATTCGTGTTAGGCCCCCAGTTACGAACAACGCATTGACGTAGAAAAACCTTTATGGCATTTAAATGGAAAATTAAAATGAAATCCCATAAACGCTTTACAAGTTACATGTTATGCTTAACATTTGAGTTAACGTAATAAATAATCGCTGTAACGTTTAAATTGTGGAAGTTTCTTTTTTAAATTTCCTATTTATAATATTAGGTTTCGTGAGCTTTTCTTAATTTATATTTCTCAGTGAAAAACCTTCTATACAGTTTAAAAATTTAAAACCTAAGTAGTGCGAAGGTTCTTGTTTATATTTTTAATTAATTACCCCGTTCCAATACATTTTATCTACTTTTGTTCTTAGAAAACAAAACAAATAGATTGCCAAATTTTGTTTACTTTAGTTAGAATTTAGTGCTAAAGGAAGTTATAAAATGTACCATATAAAATAACGAATCTCTTGCTTAAACAGATGTCTTGCTTGTAGACATCATGCTAATATTATTTCAGTCGCAAAAAATAATAAAAAAAATTACTGTAACCTATAAAAACCTCACTGCGCCTTTATATTTGCAAATGTATTTCATATTGCACTAAGGAAGCAGAGATTTGAAGGTTTATTTATTTAAAACAGTATACAACTGAAGGATAATTATAGTACAATGTAACCATTGATATTTTGAAATAGCTAAGACGTTTTCATTAACACAAACTACACTATTGTGCATTCACGTGTCATTGAATTTATGACGTAAGTATAGTTTATACAATGGGTATTTATTTCTCGTATACAACGAGTGGGTTTATAGGGCGCCGTCAAGGCGTTGATCGATCTCGTCTCCGGCTGTGTTTTCATTGAGGATTGCCTCAATATACAATATATTGTTATTCAATATAATGGATAGACGCATACAGATATTGCGTACAACATATAAAGTACGAAGGCAATTGTTTTTTTAGGGTTCTGTACCTCATAGGAACCCTTATAAGATCACTTTGTTGTCCGTCTGTCTATCTGTCAAGACCCTTTTTCTCAAACACGCGTGAAGATATCAAGTTGGATTTTTTTTTAATTTAGTACGATTTATTAAAAATCAAAGTCAAAATCAAATAATTTATAACAGTTTTAATTACCTAAATACTAGTCTTTGTGATAGCTTCAAAGATAAATAAAATAAATGGTAGCTAAATGAAAATATAAAATGTGTAAAAAATATTATAAAAATATAACAAAAGCGTAAAATACTTGATTGTCGAGTGTTTTCCCTGTAACGTCCTTGACCGATCAAGTAGCTTTGTTCCTGCCACCAATATACTCACCATTGTTACGATTTTAAAGTTAATTAAATATTATAATTAGTAG